GTGCGTCTCTACAGAGCAGTCCGTGCGTCTCTACAGAGCAGTCCGTGCGTCTCTACAGAACAGTCCGTGCGTCTCTACTGAACAGTCCGTGCGTCTCTACTGAACAGTCCGTGCGTCTCTACAGAGCAGTCCGTGCGTCTCTACAGAGCAGTCCGTGCGTCTCTACTGAACAGTCTGTGCGTCTCTACAGAGCAGTCCGTGCGTCTCTACAGAGCAGTCCGTGCGTCTCTACAGAACAGTCCGTGCGTCTCTACTGAACAGTCTGTGCGTCTCTACTGAACAGTCCGTGCGTCTCTACAGAGCAGTCCGTGCGTCTCTACAGAGCAGTCTGTGCGTCTCTACTGAACAGTCCGTGCGTCTCTACAGAACAGTCCGTGCGTCTCTACAGAACAGTCCGTGCGTCTCTACAGAACAGTCTGTGCGTCTCTACAGAACAGTCCGTGCGTCTCTACTGAACAGTCCGTGCGTCTCTACAGAACAGTCCGTGCGTCTCTACAGAACAGTCCGTGCGTCTCTACTGAACAGTCCGTGCGTCTCTACTGAACAGTCCGTGCGTCTCTACAGAACAGTCTGTGCGTCTCTACTGAACAGTCCGTGCGTCTCTACTGAACAGTCCGTGCGTCTCTACTGAACAGTCCGTGCGTCTCTACAGAGCAGTCCGTGCGTCTCTACTGAACAGTCCGTGCGTCTCTACAGAACAGTCCGTGCGTCTCTACTGAACAGTCCGTGCGTCTCTACTGAACAGTCCTTTGCATTGAAAGCCGACGCAACGCATGATCCGGTCTGAACGCACCATTGCACTTTAGAACATCAGTGTTTCAGATTTATGTTCAAATCTAGAACAGTCTTCCTGAAAATGTGAGACAGACTTCTTCTCTGACAATGTTCAGATTCAGTGAGTTTGATGTTTTGTTTGTATTTGTCTTAAACTTCAGGGACTGGTCAGGTCTGTGGAGAGTCATGAGACTCCCAGTGAACTGAACGAGCAGGTTGTGACTGCAGAGAAACAGGAACACACACATGTGACATCACAAGGATGTGTGTGACTCAAGTTCACCCACACTGTGTGTGTGTGTGTCTGAGTGTGTCTTCTGTGAGTGTGTCTTCTGTGAGTGCGTGTGTGTGTGTCTGTGTCTTCTGTGAGTGTGTGTGTGTGTCTGTGTCTTCTGTGAGTGTGTGTGTGTCTTCTGTGAGTGCGTGTGTGTGTGTCTGTGTCTTCTGTGAGTGTGTGTGTGTGTCTGTGTCTTCTCTGAGTGTGTCTGTGTCTTCTGTGAGTGTGTGTGTGTCTTCTGTGAGTGTGTTTCTGTCTTCTGTGAGTGTGTGTGTGTCTGTGTCTTCTGTGAGTGTGTGTCTTCTGTGAGTGTGTGTGTGTCTTCTGTGAGTGTGTGTGTGTGTGTGTCTTCTGTGAGTGTGTGTCTTCTGTGAGTGTGAGTGTGTCTTCTGTGAGTGTGTCTTCTGTGAGTGTGTGTGAGTGTGTCTTCTGTGAGTGTGTGTGTGTCTTCTGTGAGTGTGTGTCTGTCTTCTGTGAGTGTGTGTCTTCTGTGAGAGTGTCTTCTGTGAGTGTGAGTGTGTCTTCTGTGAGTGTGTGTCTGTCTTCTGTGAGTGTGTGTGTCTTCTGTGAGTGTGTGTGTGTCTTCTGTGAGTGTGTGTCTTCTGTGAGTGTGTGTCTTCTGTGAGTGTCTTCTGTGAGTGTGTGTGTGTCTTCTGTGAGTGAGTGTGTGTGTGTCTTCTGTGAGTGTGTGTGTGTGTGTCTTCTGTGAGTGTGTGTGTGTGTGTCTTCTGTGAGTGTGTGTGTGTCTGTCTTCTGTGAGTGTGTGTCTTCTGTGAGTGTGTGTGTGTCTTCTGTGAGTGTGTGTCTGTCTTCTGTGAGTGTGTGTCTTCTGTGAGTGTGTGTCTTCTGTGAGTGTGTCTTCTGTGAGTGTGTGTGTGTCTTCTGTGAGTGTGTGTTATCTTCTGTGAGTGTGTGTCTTCTGTGAGTGTGTGTGTGTCTTCTGTGAGTGTGTGTTCTGTGAGTGTGTGTCTTCTGTGAGTGTGTCTTCTGTGAGTGTGTGTGTGTGTTCTGTGAGTGTGTGTGTGTCTTCTGTGAGTGTGTCTTCTGTGAGTGTGTGTGTGTCTTCTGTGAGTGAGTGTGTGTGTGTCTTCTGTGAGTGTGTGTGTGTCTTCTGTGAGTGTGTGTGTGTCTTCTGTGAGTGTGTGTCCGTCTTCTGTGAGTGTGTGTCTTCTGTGAGTGTGTGTGTGTCTTCTGTGAGTGTGTGTGTGTCTGTCTTCTGTGAGTGTGTGTCTTCTGTGAGTGTGTGTCTGTCTTCTGTGAGTGAGTGTGTGTCTGTCTTCTGTGAGTGTGTGTCTGTCTTCTGTGAGTGTGTGTCTGTCTTCTGTGAGTGTGTGTCTGTCTTCTGTGAGTGTGTGTCTTCTGTGAGTGTGTGTGTGTCTTCTGTGAGTGTGTGTCTTCTGTGAGTGTGTGTGTGTCTTCTGTGAGTGTGTGTCTGTCTTCTGTGAGTGTGTGTCTTCTGTGAGTGTGTGTGTGTCTTCTGTGAGTGTGTGTCTTCTGTGAGTGAGTGTGTGTCTGTCTTCTGTGAGTGTGTGTGTGTCTGTCTTCTGTGAGTGTGTGTCTTCTGTGAGTGTGTGTCTGTCTTCTGTGAGTGTGTGTCTTCTGTGAGTGAGTGTGTGTCTGTCTTCTGTGAGTGTGTGTCTGTCTTCTGTGAGTGTGTGTCTGTCTTCTGTGAGTGTGTGTCTTCTGTGAGTGTGTGTGTGTCTTCTGTGTGTGTGTGTGTGTGTGAGTGTGTGTCTTCTGTGAGTGTGTGTGTGTCTTCTGTGAGTGTGTGTGTGTCTTCTGTGAGTGTGTGTCTTCTGTGAGTGTGTGTCTGTCTTCTGTGAGTGTGTGTCTTCTGTGAGTGAGTGTGTGTCTGTCTTCTGTGAGTGTGTGTCTGTCTTCTGTGAGTGTGTGTCTGTCTTCTGTGAGTGTGTGTCTTCTGTGAGTGTGTGTGTGTCTTCTGTGTGTGTGTGTGTGTCTGTCTTCTGTGAGTGAGTGTGTGTCTGTCTTCTGTGAGTGTGTGTCTTCTGTGAGTGTGTGTCTGTCTTCTGTGAGTGTGTGTCTTCTGTGAGTGAGTGTGTGTCTGTCTTCTGTGAGTGTGTGTGTGTCTGTCTTCTGTGAGTGTGTGTCTTCTGTGAGTGTGTGTCTGTCTTCTGTGAGTGTGTGTCTTCTGTGAGTGAGTGTGTGTCTGTCTTCTGTGAGTGTGTGTCTGTCTTCTGTGAGTGTGTGTCTGTCTTCTGTGAGTGTGTGTCTTCTGTGAGTGTGTGTGTGTGTGTGAGTGTGTGTCTTCTGTGAGTGTGTGTGTGTCTTCTGTGAGTGTGTGTCTTCTGTGAGTGTGTGTCTGTCTTCTGTGAGTGTGTGTCTGTCTTCTGTGAGTGTGTGTCTTCTGTGAGTGTGTGTCTTCTGTGAGTGTGTGTCTGTCTTCTGTGAGTGTGTGTCTTCTGTGAGTGTGTGTCTGTCTTCTGTGAGTGTGTGTGTGTCTTCTGTGAGTGTGTGTGTGTCTTCTGTGAGTGTGTGTTTTCTGTGAGTGTGTGTCTGTCTTCTGTGAGTGTGTGTCTGTCTTCTGTGAGTGTGTGTCTGTCTTCTGTGAGTGTGTGTCTTCTGTGAGTGTGTGTCTGTCTTCTGTGAGTGTGTGTCTTCTGTGAGTGTGTGTCTGTCTTCTGTGAGTGTGTGTGTGTCTTCTGTGAGTGTGTGTGTGTCTTCTGTGAGTGTGTGTCTGTCTTCTGTGAGTGTGTGTGTGTCTTCTGTGAGTGTGTGTCTTCTGTGAGTGTGTGTGTGTCTTCTGTGAGTGTGTGTCTGTCTTCTGTGAGTGTGTGTGTGTCTTCTGTGAGTGTGTGTGTGTCTTCTGTGAGTGTGTGTCTTCTGTGAGTGTGTGTCTTCTGTGAGTGTGACTTCTGTGAGTGTGTGTCTGTCTTCTGTGAGTGTGTGTCTGTCTTCTGTGAGTGTGTGTCTGTCTTCTGTGAGTGTGTGTCTGTCTTCTGTGAGTGTGTGTCTGTCTTCTGTGAGTGTGTGTGTGTCTTCTGTGAGTGTGTGTGTGTCTTCTGTGAGTGTGTGTCTTCTGTGAGTGTGTGTCTTCTGTGAGTGTGTGTGTGTCTTCTGTGAGTGTGTGTCTTCTGTGAGTGTGTGTCTGTCTTCTGTGAGTGTGTGTGTGTCTTCTGTGAGTGTGTGTCTTCTGTGAGTGTGTGTCTTCTGTGAGTGTGTGTGTGTCTTCTGTGAGTGTGTGTGTGTCTTCTGTGAGTGTGTGTCTTCTGTGAGTGTGTGTGTGTCTTCTGTGAGTGTGTGTGTGTCTTCTGTGAGTGTGTGTGTGTCTTCTGTGAGTGTGTGTCTGTCTTCTGTGAGTGTGTGTCTGTCTTCTGTGAGTGTGTGTGTGTCTTCTGTGAGTGTGTGTCTGTCTTCTGTGAGTGTGTGTCTTCTGTGAGTGTGTGTCTGTCTTCTGTGAGTGTGTGTCTGTCTTCTGTGAGTGTGTGTCTGTCTTCTGTGAGTGTGTGTCTGTCTTCTGTGAGTGTGTGTCTTCTGTGTGTGTGTGTGTCTTCTGTGAGTGTGTGTCTGTCTTCTGTGAGTGTGTGTCTGTCTTCTGTGAGTGTGCGTCTTCTCTCAGATCCGAGGGTGGAACATTTCAACTTGTGTATGTGTGGTATTTCCTCGCTCCCTCTCCTTCCTGTTGTACTTGTGAGTGTGCAACTGTGTGCGTGAGTGTGTGAGCGCACGACTGTGTGCGTCTGTGTGTGAGCGCACGACTGTGTGCGTCTGTGTGTGAGCGCACGACTGTGTGCGTCTGTGTGTGAGCGCACGACTGTGTGCGTCTGTGTGTGTGTGTACGACTGTGTGTGTGTGTGTGTGTGTGAGGCGGGGCTTGGAAGCCTGATCTTTGAGCCCTACATAAGTCCCAATCCTAGTTTCAGTTGTGGATAGTCCTGGTCTCGGTCCTGGTCTCGGTCCTGGTCTCGGTCCTGGTCTCGGTCCTGGTCTCATGGCTGTGTTCCGGTTCTCCAGGCTGGACGTGGGCCTGACGGTCCTGGGACTGGGAGCTCTTGTGTTGGACATAGTCCTGGACGTGAGGACAGCTGTGGAGCTGTACCAGGAAGGAGACATCCTTCGTCTGTCTGTGCTGCTGCTGCTGCTGGTGTCCTCGTCTCTCCTGGTGCAGAGCTACAGCTGGCTCTGGTACAGCTACGATGGTTTCCACAGAGACACTAGAGTGGAACAGGCCCTCAGTTTGAGAACCCTTAGGATCCTGCACTGTCTGCAGCTGGGGACATACCTCAGGTGAGACACAGAGAGAGACAGAGGAGACACAGAGACTGAGGACACAGAGACTGAGCACACAGAGACTGAGGACACACAGAGACTGAGGATACAGAGACAGAGGACACAGAGACAGAGGACACAGAGACAGAGGACACACAGAGACAGAGGACACACAGAGACAGGACACACAGACAGGACACACAGAGACAGAGGACACAGAGACTGAGGACACCCAGAGACAGAAGACACACAGAGACAGAGGACACCCAGAGACTGAGGACACCCAGAGACAGAGGACACACAGAGACAGAGGACACACAGAGACAGAGGACACACAGAGACTGAGGACACACAGAGACAGAGGACACACAGAGACAGAGGACACACAGAGACAGAGGACACACAGAGACAGAGGACACACAGAGACAGAGGACACACAGAGACAGAGGACACACAGAGACAGGACACACAGAGACAGAGGACACAGAGACTGAGGACACACAGAAACAGAGGACACAGAGACTGAGGACACACAGAGAGACAGAGGACACAGAGACTGAGGACACACAGAGGGACAGAGGACACACAGATACAGAGGACACACAGAGACAGAGGATACAGAGACTGAGGACCCACAGAGGGACAGAGGACACAGAGACAGAGGACACACAGAGACTGAGGACACACAGAGAGACAGAGGACACAGAGACTGAGGACACACAGACAGAGGATACAGAGACAGAGGACACACAGAGACAGAGGACACAGAGGACATACAGAGACAGAGGATACAGAGACAGAGGACACAGAGGACATACAGAGACAGAGGATACAGAGACAGAGGATACAGAGACAGAGGACACACAGAGATAGAGGACACACAGAGACAGAGGATACAGAGACAGAGGACACAGAGACTGAGGACACACAGAGACTGAGGACACACAGAGACAGAGGATACAGAGACAGAGGACACACAGAGACAGAGGATAAAGAGGACACAGAGACTGAGGACACACAGAGACAGAGGATACAGAGACAGAGGACATACAGAGACAGAGGATACAGAGACACAGAGGACACACAGAGAAAGAGGATACAGAGACAGAGGACATACAGAGACAGAGGATACAGAGACAGAGGACACACAGAGACAGAGGACATACAGAGACAGAGGACACACAGAGACAGAGGATACAGAGACAGAGGACATACAGAGACAGAGGATACAGAGACAGAGGACACACAGAGACAGAGGACATACAGAGACAGAGGACACACAGAGACAGAGGACACACAGAGACAAAGGATACAGAGACAGAGGATACAGAGACAGAGGACACACAGAGACTGAGGACACACAGAGACAGAGGATACAGAGACAGAGGACACACAGAGACAGAGGACACACAGAGACAGAGGACACACAGAGACTGAGGACACACAGAGACACAGACAGGTTTGGTAGGGACCCTGTGACTGTGAGGTGTGTGCTTCTGTCCACAGACACCTGGGCGTCCTGGAGCTGGCTGTGGGACATGTCTTCTGTGGGACAGACCAGAGGGACCTGTCAGTGTTCCTCAGTCATGACGTGGCCATGCTGCGGCTGGTGGAGGCCTTCTCCGAGTCCCTGCCTCAGCTGGTCCTCATGCTCTCAACCAGCATCCACAGGGGGGAGCTGCACCTCTGGCCAGGTACCATGTGTGACCAGACCCTGGCCAGGTACCATGTGTGACCAGACCCTGGCCAGGTACCATGTGTGACCAAACCCCTGGACAGGTACCATGTGTGACCAGACCCTGGCCAGGTACCATGTGTGACCAGACCCTGGCCAGGTACCATGTGTGACCAAACCACTGGACAGGTACCATGTGTGACCAGACCCTGGCCAGGTACCATGTGTGACCAGACCCTGGCCAGGTACCATGTGTGACCAAACCCCTGGACAGGTACCATGTGTGACCAAACCCCTGGCCAGGTACCATGTGTGACCAGACCCTGGCCAGGTACCATGTGTGACCAAACCCCTGGCCAGGTACCATGTGTGACCAAACCCCTGGCCAGGTACCATGTGTGACCAAACCCCTGGCCAGGTACCATGTGTGACCAGACCCTGGCCAGGTACTATGTGTGACCAGACCCTGGCCAGGTACCATGTGTGACCAAACCCCTGGCCAGGTACCATGTGTGACCAGACCCTGGCCAGGTACCATGTGTGACCAAACCCCTGGCCAGGTACCATGTGTGACCAGACCCTGGCCAGGTACCATGTGTGACCAAACCCCTGGCCAGGTACCATGTGTGACCAGACCCTGGCCAGGTACCATGTGTGACCAAACCCCTGGCCAGGTACCATTTGTGACCAAACCCCTGGCCAGGTACCATGTGTGACCAGACCCTGGCCAGGTACTATGTGTGACCAGACCCTGGCCAGGTACCATGTGTGACCAGACCCTGGCCAGGTACCATGTGTGACCAAACCCCTGGCCAGGTACCATGTGTGACCAGACCCTGGCCAGGTACCATGTGTGACCAAACCCCTGGCCAGGTACCATGTGTGACCGGACCCCTAGCCAGGTACAAACAGCCTCATCTCTGACCCTCTGTCCCTGTGCTCTCTGTACCTGTGCTCTCTGTCCCTGTGCTCTCTGTCCCTGTGCTCTCTGTCCCTGTGTCTTCTGTACCTGTGCTCCCAGGTCTTAAAGCCGCGGCCTCAGCCCTGTGCGTGTCCTTCACGGTCCTGTCGTACCATCGGTCCCTGAGGTCCTTCCTGCCGGACAAACAGAAACAGAGTGTGTTGTCCTCACTGGTGTTCCTGGTGTGGAACCTGCTGTTGCTGGTGTCCCGCGTGTCTGCACTTTCTCTGGTCATGTCCTCGTGGCCGTGTCTGTCACTGGTCCACGTCCTCTGCTCCTGGTTGGTTCTGTCGGGCTGCGCCTGGTTCTGTAGAACTGCCTTCATGTCCAGCCCTGGTGGCGAGCTGCTGTACCGTGGCACCGTGGGGCTCATCTGGTACTTCACCTGGTTCAACGTGGTGGAAGGGAAGACGTTTCTACGGACGGCGCTCTACCATGTGTACCAACTGCTGGACATCAGTCTGCTGTGCTCCGTGTGGGTCTGGACCAGGGAGCTCCAGACGCAGGACCTCCTGCTGAGTCTGGCCGTCCTAGTCACGTACAATGTGGGGCTGATGGTGAAGGGGCTGTACTATCGATGTCTGCATCCCAACCTCAGAGTCCAGGACCAGGTGGACTCAGGTCTCAGGACTCTGGCTGAGGTCGGGGACCAGGTGGACTCAGGTCTCAGGACTCTGGCTGAGGTCGGGGACCAGGTGGACTCAGGTCTCGGGACTCTGGCTGAGGTCGGGGACCAGGTGGACTCAGGTCTCGGGACTCTGGCTGAGGTCGGGGACCAGGTGGACTCAGGTCTCAGGACTTTGGCTGAGGTCGGGGACCAGGTGGACTCAGGTCTCGGGACTCGCACCATGAACCACAGAATGAGGAAATTGGCCAGAAACTTCTACTCCTGACCTGTCCTGTTTTTGTAAAACTACAAACACAGCTTTAAAGTCACAGACCCCAGTTTTAAAGTCACAGACCCCAGCTTTAAAGTCACAGACCCAGCTTTAAAGTTACAGACCCCAGCTTTAAAGTCACAGACCCAGCTTTAAAGTCACAGACCCCAGCTTTAAAGTCACAGACTCCAGCTTTAAAGTCACAGACCCCAGCTTTAAAGTCACAGACCCCAGCTTTAAAGTCACAGACTCCAGCTTTAAAGTCACAGACCCAGCTTTAAAGTCACAGACCCCAGCTTTAAAGTCACAGACTCCAGCTTTAAAGTTACAGACTCCAGCTTTAAAGTCAGACCCAGCTTTAAAGTCACAGACCCAAGCTTTAAAGTTACAGACCCCAGCTTTAAAGTTACAGACCCCAGCTTTAAAGTCACAGACCCAGCTTTAAAGTCACAGACCCCAGCTTTAAAGTTACAGACCCCAGCTTTAAAGTTACAGACCCCAGCTTTAAAGTCACACAGACCCCAGCTTTAAAGTCACAGACCCAGCTTTAAAGTTACAGACCCCAGCTTTAAAGTCACAGACCCCAGCTTTAAAGTCACAGACCCAGCTTTAAAGTTACAGACCCCAGCTTTAAAGAAGCCTGTGATGTCACACTGACTTTTAAGTAATTTAATTTATTAAAAATTGTTTTTTCATAAACTGCATTTACATGTGTGGCCCCAGTTTGCATGTTGCCTGTCTCTGTATAGTTTGCATGTTCTGCCTGTGTCTCTGTAGAGTTTGCATGTTCTCCCCATGTATCTGTATAGTTTGCATGTTCTCCCCATGTCTCTGTATAGTTTGCATGTTCTCCCCATGTCTCTGTATAGTTTGCATGTTCTGTCTGTGTCTCTGTAGAGTTTGCATGTTCTGCCTGTGTCTCTGTAGAGTTTGCATGTTCTGCCCGTGTCTCTGTAGTTTGCATGTTCTCCCCATGTCTCTGTAGTTTGCATGTTCTCCCCATGTCTCTGTAGTTTGCATGTTCTCCCCGTGCAGACACGTAGAATGTTGGTAGAATGTGGACAGCTTTAATGAAACGGTTCAAACATGTTAGTCATGTTCTACAACATCCTGACACATGTGACCTGCCGTCTGCAGGCCACAGCAACACGTGTGTGAGCCTGGATGGAGCGAAACACAGCTGCAGGTCTGAGGTCTCCTTTAAAGTTCATCATAGAAGAACGTAATGAGGGTTTTGTCCAAAAACTGCATCAGAAACAAAACAAACATTAAACACAACTGTTCTGTCGCTCCGAGGCGTTTGCTGCTCCCTCCGCAATGTGACATCACCAATACCACACCCACTCTGAACACTTCTCTCTCTCTCTCTGGCCTCCCTCTCCCTCTCTCTCTCTCTGGCCTCCCTCTCCCTCTCCCTCTGGCCTCCCTCTCTCTGGCCTCCCTCTCCCTCTCTCTGGCCTCCCTCTCCCTCCCTCCCTCTCTCTCTGGCCTCCCTCTCCCTCCCTCTCTCTGGCCTCCCTCTCTCTCTCTCTCTGGCCTCCCTCTCCCTCTCCCTGGCCTCCCTCTCTCTCCCTCTGGCCTCCCTCTCTCTCCCTCTGGCCTCCCTCTCTCTCCCTCTGGCCTCCCTCTCTCTCTCTCTGGCCTCCCTCTCTCTCTCTCTGGCCTCCCTCTCCCTCTCTCTGGCCTCCCTCTCTCTGGCCTCCCTCTCCCTGGCCTCTCTCTCTCTGGCCTCCCTCTCCCTCTCTCTCTCTGGCCTCCCTCTCCCTCCCCTCTCTCTGGCCTCCCTCTCCCTCTCTCTCTGGCCTCCCTCTCCCTCTCTCTCTGGCCTCCCTCTCCCTCTCTCTGGCCTCCCTCTCCCTCTCTCTCTGGCCTCCCTCTCCCTCTCTCTCTGGCCTCCCTCTCTCTCTCTCTGGCCTCCCTCTCCCTCCCTCTCTCTGGCCTCCCTCTCCCTCTCTCTGGCCTCCCTCTCCCTCTCCCTGGCCTCCCTCTCCCTGGCCTCCCTCTCCCTCCCTCTGGCCTCCCTCTCCCTCCCTCTGGCCTCCCTCTCCCTCCCTCTGGCCTCCCTCTCCCTCTCTCTGGCCTCCCTCTCCCTCCCTCTCCCTCTCTCTGGCCTCCCTCTCCCTCTCTCTGGCCTCCCTCTCCCTCTCTCTGGCCTCCCTCTCCCTCTCTCTCTGGCCTCCCTCTCCCTCTCTCTCTGGCCTCCCTCTCCCTCTCTCTGGCCTCCCTCTCCCTCTCTCTGGCCTCCCTCTCCCTCTCCCTGGCCTCCCTCTCTCTCTCTCTGGCCTCCCTCTCCCTCCCTCTCCCTCTCTCTGGCCTCCCTCTCTCTCTCTCTAGCCTCCCTCTCCCTGGCCTCCCTCTCCCTCTCTCTGGCCTCCCTCTCTCTGGCCTCCCTCTCCGGCCTCCCTCTCCGGCCTCCCTCTCCCTCTCTCTCTGGCCTCCCTCTCCCTCTCTCTCTGGCCTCCCTCTCCCTCTCTCTCTGGCCTCCCTCTCCCTCTCTCTCTGGCCTCCCTCTCCCTCTCTCTGGCCTCCCTCCCTCTCCCTCTCTCTGGCCTCCCTCCCTCTCCCTCTCTCTGGCCTCCCTCTCCCTCTCTCTGGCCTCCCTCTCCCTCTCCCTGGCCTCCCTCTCTCTCTCTCTGGCCTCCCTCTCCCTCTCTCTCTCTCTCTCTCTCTCTGGCCTCCCTCTTTCTCTCTGGCCTCCCTCTCCCTCCCTCGCTCTCTCTCTGGCCTCCCTCTCGCTCTCTCTCTCTGGCCTCCCTCTCGCTCTCTCTCTCTCTCCCTCTCCCTCTCCCTCCCTCTCTCTCTCTAGCCTCCCTCTCCCTCCCTCTCCCTGGCCTCCCTCTCCCTCTCTCTGGCCTCCCTCTCTCTAGCCTCCCTCTCCCTCCCTCTCCCTCTCTCTCCCTCTCCGGCCTCCCTCTCCGGCCTCCCTCTCCCTCTCCTGGTGATGTCACACTCTCTTGCTGCTATAGAAGGTGTGAGCCAGTGCCTTCATGCGTCGGTTGACCAGTGGTTGGACACTGCTCCTGTCCTGTGCACACAGCTCCCACACGCTCAGCTCCGAGTCCGGCAGGTCCAGGGGGCGTGGCCTCTGCTCCAGGGGGCGTGGCCTCCACAGTTTGGGGTGGAAGCAGCAGTAGTACACGGACTTGAGGAGCAGGCCGCAAGTGTAGAGCAGAGGTAACACCAGCAGCAGCACTGGTGCATAGAGCTGGCTGGTCTCCTGGTCTCTATACTGCCACCATGTGGACAGCAGCAGAGTGCAGTCTGTTGTCATGAACACATGGTAGATGAAGCTACGCCCGCGTGTGCCGCCCTCGCTCACGTTGAACCAGCTGAAGTACCAGATGAGCCCCACGGTGCCGCGGTAAAGCCACTCCCCACTCTGAGACTCCATGAAGTGTGTGCGCTGAGTCCTGGCCCAGAACAGGAAGGCCAGCCACAGGAACAGGAAGTGCAGCAGCAGCAGCGAGCGCATCACGGAGCAGAAGAGCGCGAGGACCGCCACCCGCGGCGAGATCAGCAGCAGGTTCCACAGGAAGTACATCACCGACGACACCACGCTCTGTTTGGCTTTGTGTGGCACGAAGGAGCGCAGAGAGCGATGATAGTCCAGCACCATCCAGGCCATGGAGGTGCTGGAGGCCGCCATGCTCACGACTAAACACAAACACAAAGTTACTACACAAAGTTACTACACACAACTAAACACAAACACAAAGTTACTACACACAACTAAACACAAACACAAAGTTATTACACAAAGTTATTACACACAACTAAACACAAACACAAAGTTACTACACACAACTAAACACAAACACAAAGTTATTACACAAAGTTATTACACACAACTAAACACAAACACAAAGTTACTACACAAAGTTACTACACACAACTAAACACAAACACAAAGTTACTACACACAACTAAACACAAACACAAAGTTATTACACAAAGTTACTACACACAACTAAACACAAACACAAAGTTATTACACAAAGTTACTACACACAACTAAACACAAACACAAAGTTACTACACAAAGTTACTACACACAACTAAACACAAACACAAAGTTACTACACAAAGTTACTACACACAACTAAACACAAACACAAAGTTACTACACAAAGTTACTACACACAACTAAACACAAACACAAAGTTACTACACAAAGTTACTACACACAACTAAACACAAACACAAAGTTACTACACAAAGTTACTACACACAACTAAACACAAACACAAAGTTACTACACAAAGTTACTACACACAACTAAACACAAAGTTACTACACACAACTAAACACAAAGTTACTACATACAACTAAACACAAACACAAAGTTATTACACAAAGTTATTACACACAACTAAACACAAACACAAAGTTATTACACACAACTAAACACAAACACAAAGTTATTACACAAAGTTACTACACACAACTAAACACAAACACAAAGTTACTACACAAAGTTACTACACACAACTAAACACAAACACAAAGTTACTACACAAAGTTACTACACACAACTAAACACAAACACAAAGTTACTACACAAAGTTACTACACACAACTAAACACAAACACAAAGTTACTACACAAAGTTACTACACAAAGTTACTACACAAAGTTACTACACACAACTAAACACAAACACAAAGTTACTACACAAAGTTATTACACACAACTAAACACAAACACAAAGTTATTACACAAAGTTACTACACACAACTAAACACAAACACAAAGTTACTACACACAACTAAACACAAACACAAAGTTACTACACAAAGTTACTACACAAAGTTACTAAACACAAACACAAAGGCCCTCATTTATGAAACTTGCGTACGGCCAAATCTGGGTAAATGAGGCATTTATCAATCTGGAGGTGAGAATACACACAGAATCCACACCAAGTCTGGAGGTGGTGTAAATGTGTACGCTCATTTCAACCTTCATCATAACACGCCAAAACACACATGAAATTCAACATTTATCAACAATAAACATTTTCTCACTCTGGAAACATTATAAGCTGCGTTTTCTAAAATTGAATTTGCGCATCAGAAAAAGTAACGAAAACACGCAAACTTCGGATACATCTCAGTTCATGCTGAGGAACCTCTTCTGTTTCTTTAGTTTTAAATCTGACTTGTGCGAATTATTTTCATCTGTTCGTGTTTTAAATGTGAAGTGCTCTGTGATCCTGGTCTGTGATCCTGGTCTGTGCTCTGTGATCCTGGTCTGTGCTCTGTGATCCTGGTCTGTGATCCTGGTCTGTGCTCTGTGGTCTGTGATCCTGGTCTGTGATCCTGGTCTGTGATCCTGGTCTGTGATCCTGGTCTGTGATCCTGGTCTGTGATCCTGGTCTGTGAAAGGCGCTTTACAAATCCACCTGATTTGAGACCATGAACGATGGTCTCACTCAAAACTGTCTCAGCCACTGCCCTGTCTCCGCATAGAGCAGAGAGAGGATGCAACGCACTTATCAGCGGCTCTGGGACAGCGGCTCTGTGGCTCTGTGACAGTGGCTCTGGGACAGCGGCTCTGTGGCTCTGTGACAGTGGCTCTGGGACAGTGGCTCTGGGACAGCGGCTCTGGGACAGTGGCTCTGGGACAGTGGCTCTGTGGCTCTGTGACAGTGGCTCTGGGACAGTGGCTCTGGGACAGCGGCTCTGGGACAGTGGCTCTGGGACAGTGGCTCTGTGGCTCTGGGACAGTGGCTCTGTGGCTCTGGGACAGTGGCTCTGGGACAGCGGCTCTGGGACAGCGGCTCTGGGACAGCGGCTCTGGGACAGCGGCTCTGTGGCTCTGGGACAGTGGCTCTGGGACAGCGGCTCTGGGACAGTGGCTCTGGGACAGCGGCTCTGGGACAGCGGCTCTGTGGCTCTGGGACAGCGGCTCTGTGGCTCTGGGACAGCGGCTCTGGGACAGTGGCTCTGTGGCTCTGGGACAGCGGCTCTGTGGCTCTGGGACAGCGGCTCTGGACAGTGGCTCTGTGGCTCTGGGACAGCGGCTCTGTGGCTCTGGGACAGCGGCTCTGGGACAGTGGCTCTGGGACAGCGGCTCTGGGACAGCGGCTCTGGGACAGTGGCTCTGGGACAGCGGCTCTGTGGCTCTGGGACAGTGGCTCTGGGACAGCGGCTCTGGGACAGTGGCTCTGGGACAGCGGCTCTGGGACAGTGGCTCTGTGGCTCTGGGACAGCGGCTCTGTGGCTCTGGGACAGCGGCTCTGGGACAGTGGCTCTGTGGCTCTGGGACAGTGGCTCTGTGGCTCTGGGACAGCGGCTCTGTGGCTCTGGGACAGCGGCTCTGGGACAGCGGCTCTGGGACAGCGGCTCTGGGACAGCGGCTCTGGGACAGCGGCTTTGGGACAGTGGCTCTGGGACAGTGCGCAGCAGGCGCCAGGAGAGGTCCCACTGCATCACTGCTCAAATATGCTCATACGTATCTTTCTCTCTAAAGCAGCGTTCAGACCGGATGTTGCGTTGCGTCTGCTTTCAATGCAAAGTCAATGGTGACGCGCGTTCGAGCGTCAAAATGCACGAACGTCTCTGAATGCACCCTCTGAAGGAGGAGCAGGAGCGGAAAAACAACGCACGCAGATTAATTTTGCTTGACCTTTCCTCGGGATGTTTCTGCAGCGACCAGAGAGCCGCAAAGCGGTTACAGGGACATTAGTGTCTGAGCGAGCAGACTGAAAATACTGTAAACAGCCAAAACAGGAGCTACATCAGGACTAAACCAGGACTAAACCAGGACTAAACCAGGACTAAACCAGGGTTGACGATGGGGGACTGTGTGCTTGTTAACATGTGAGTTTTCATGCTCCCGTGACTTTATGCAACTGCTTCGAGTGTGTTCGCCGATGCGGAAATACAGTTTAATAATAAAATAAACGTATCTCTGGCCTGAAGACCCCTGCGTCTGAAAACTAGAGAATGTGCGTCTGGTGAGCGAGGCTTCAGCGTGTTAGCGTTGGCGTCTGAAAGCAGCATCAGAGATCGCCCAAAATATACACCCTTTTCTGCACAAGTTTCATAAATGAGGGCCAAAGGTGCTACACACAGGTACATTCTGAGGGCACTCACACTGCACCGTGCGCGCCTTCTGCGTCTGTAGCATCACATATACCATGAGTGTCAGCTGGGGGGCGCTCTCACAGAACGTCTCGATCAGACGCAACATGCTCAGGTCATGGGTCAGATACACCGCCAACTCTGACCCCTCCTCACGCCGCCACCACACCCGGAAACCCTGCCATATCACCCACAGGTGTCTGAGGAGAGAGAGGGAGAGAGTCAGAGAGAGAAACCCTGCCATATCACCCACAGGTGTCTGAGGAGAGAGAGGGAGAGAGTCAGAGAGAGAGAAACCCTGCCATATCACCCACAGGTGTCTGAGGAGAGAGAGGGAGAGAGTCAGAGAGAGAGAAACCCTGCCATATCACCCACAGGTGTCTGAGGAGAGAGAGGGAGAGAGTCAGAGAGAGAGAGAAACCCTGCCATATCACCCACAGGTGTCTGAGGAGAGAGAGGGAGAGAGTCAGAGAGAGAGAAACCCTGCCATATCACCCACAGGTGTCTGAGGAGAGAGAGGGAGAGAGTCAGAGAGAGAGAGAGAAACCCTGCCATATCACCCACAGGTGTCTGAGGAGAGAGAGGGAGAGAGTCAGAGAGAGAGAGAGAGAGAAACCCTGCCATATCACCCACAGGTGTCTGAGGAGAGAGAGGGAGAGAGTCAGAGAGAGAGAGAGAGAGAAACCCTGCCATATCACCCACAGGTGTCTGAGGAGAGAGAGGGAGAGAGAGAGAGAGAGAGAGAAACCCTGCCAGATGACCCACAGGTGTCTGAGGAGAGAGAGGGAGAGAGTCAGAGAGAGAGAGAAACCCTGCCATATCACCCACAGGTGTCTGAGGAGAGAGAGGGAGAGAGTCAGAGAGAGAGAGAGAGAGAAACCCTGCCAGATCACCCACAGGTGTCTAAGAAGAGAGAGGGAGAGAGTCAGAGAGAGAGACCCTGCCAGATCACCCACAGGTGTCTAAGAAGAGAGAGGGAGAGGGTCAGAGAGAGAGGGTCCGAGACAGAGAGGGTCAGCAAGAGAGAGGGAGAGAGTCAGCAAGAGAGAGAGGGTCAGCGAGAGAGAGGGAGAGGGTCAGTAAGAGAGAGAGGGTCAGCGAGAGAGAGGGTGAGAGTCAGTAAGAGAGAGGTCAGAGAGAGAGAGGGTCAGCGAGAGAGAGAGGGAGAGGGTGAGAGTCAGTAAGAGAGAGAGGGTCAAGAGAGAGAGGGTCAGCGAGTGAGAGAGAGAGGGAGAGGGTGAGAGTCAGTAAGAGAGAGGTCAGAGAGAGAGAGGGTCAGCGAGAGAGAGAGGGTCAATGAGAGAGAGGGAGAGAGTCAGCAAGAGAGGGTCAGAGAGAGTCAGCAAGACACACACAGAGACATATGACACACATACACATATACAGAGACATATGACACACACACAGAGCCATAACACATACACACACAGAGACATAACACACATACACACACAGAGACATGTCACACACACACAACCCGCATACACACACACACACAGACATATGACACACATACACATATACCACGTACACACTGAGACATGACATACATACACACAGAGACATGACACACGTACACACTGAGACATGACATACATACACACAGAGACATGACACACGTACACACTGAGACATGACATACATACACACAGAGACATGACACACGTACACACTGAGACACATGACACACAGACAGAGACATGACACACACACACACACACAGAGACTCATGACACAGACATATGATACACACACAGAGATATGACACACACACACAATATATATGACACACACACACAGAGACATATGACACACACAGATATATATGACACACATACACACACACAGAGACATGACACACACACATACACACACAGACATGACACACATACACACTGAGACATATAACACACACACAGACACATGATACACAAGACAGATATGACACACACAGCTATATATGACACACACACACACAGAGACATGACAAACACACACACAGAGAGAAATATAACACACACACACACACACCTGCAGAGGAATCCCAGCTGGAGCACATGCACAGCACACGACAGCTTCACTCTGTCCCCGAACATCACCACACTGTTCACCCCGGGGGGAGGCTGAGGCTCCTCTCCCCCTGGGTGAGGCTGAGGCTCCTCTCCCCCTGGGGGAGGCTGAGGCTCCTCTCCCCCGGGGTGAGGCTGAGGCTCCTCTCCCCCTGGGTGAGGCTGAGGCTCCTCTCCCCCGGGGTGAGGCTGAGGCTCCTCTCCCCCTGGGTGAGGCTGAGGCTCCTCTCCCCCTGGGTGAGGCTGAGGCTCCTCTCCCCCGGGGTGAGGCTGAGGCTCCTCTCCCCCGGGGTGAGGCTGAGGCTCCTCTCCCCCGGGGTGAGGCTGAGGCTCCTCTCCCCCGGGGTGAGGCTGAGGCTCCTCTCCCCCTGGGTGAGGCTGAGGCTCCTCTCCCCCTGGGTGAGGCTGAGGCTCCTCTCCCCCGGGGTGAGGCTGAGGCTCCTCTCCCCCTGGGTGAGGCTGAGGCTCCTCTCCCCCTGGGTGAGGCTGAGGCTCCTCTCCCCCGGGCAGCACATACTGGAGTCGGTCGTACTGGAACCAGAACCAGCTGAACAGTTGCACCACCACAGAGGACAGCGCCATCAGTCCCACCAGAACCCCGAACCACAGCAGGTCTCCCCGGCAGTAAAACTCCGCGGCCACCCAGATGTCTGAGCCCCAGTCCACCAGGAAGGTGCAGACCCCCACCACGGAGAAGGCCAGGTCCACCCACGAGTAGCGCGCTAGGCTGCACTCCATTTTGGGAGAAAGCCGCTAGCATCACAACTCATTAGCCATGTTAGCTCCCATTAGCCATGTTAGCTCCTATCAGACATGTTAGCTGCTATCAGACATGTTAGCTCTTATTAGCCATGTTAGCTCCCATTAGCCATGTTAGCTCCCATTAGCCATGTTAGCTCCCATTAGCAATGTTAGCTCCCATTAGCCATGTTAGCTCCCATTAGCCATGTTAGCTCCCATTAGCCATGTTAGCTCCCATTAGCCATGTTAGCTGCTATCAGACATGTTAGCTCTTATTAGTTCAGGACCGTTACTCCGCGGCTTCTCTTCTGTGTCCTCATTTCAGTGAAACAGTTCGTTAATGTCGACACATCCTTGGGTTAGGGTTAGTTAATGTCGACACATCCTTGTTGCGCTGAAGTTTGAGCTGAAATGTTGAGAAACAGTTTGTTCAAAGCTGTGTCTGTAAAGCATTGTGTGGAGGGGTTTGTTTGTGCTGCGAGGCGGGCGGCGCTAACCCCGCCCCTCTCTGTGACGCCACAGCAGAGGGCGGGTGCTTTAATAATAATTATAATAATAATAATCCATCTTTATTTAAGGTCCATTTAAAAGACAACACAAAGACACCACAACACACAGACCAATAAAAAAGAACCTATTCATTAGTTAGACTAAAGACTAATTTTAAGACACTGTACCATTGTTCCCAGAACTGAGAGATCGTTTATTGGTCCCACAGTGGTGAACATTCAGTGTTGCTTCACAAGTTACAGAACAGTAGGATTGAGGAGCACACAGCACAAGATAAATTAACACTAACTATACTAATTAAAATTAAACACAATTTCTAACTCTAGCATCAATAACAAGTATAAAATCTCTTTCTTTAACATAATAAAGTTTTACATTTGGCAAAATAAGAGGCAAGTGTAGAGTACTGTGTTATATGTTAGCATCTCAGAATCAGAATCATTTTTATTGAAGTTACAGGAGGTCACAGACTTGGAAATTGCTTTGGCTCAGTGCAACAGTCAGAAAGAGAGGTACAGTAAGGGTAGAGAATTCTTCCTGTCCCTCTCTGTGATGCTGCTGCTCCAGCAGACCACACCATGCACTGATGCCACCACAGAGTCATAGAAGGTCTTTAGGAGTGGCCCCTGCACTCCGAAAGACCTGAGCCTCCTCAGCAGTAGAGCCTCCTCAGCAGTATATACTCCTCAGCAGTAGATTCTCCTCAGCAGTAGAGCCTCCTCAGCAGTAGAGCCTCCTCAGCAGTATATACTCCTCAGCAGTAGATTCTCCTCAGCAGTAGATTCTCCTCAGCAGTAGATTCTCCTCAGCAGTATATACTCCTCAGCAGTATATACTCCTCAGCAGTAGAGCCTCCTCAGCAGTAGATTCTCCTCAGCAGTAGAGCCTCCTCAGCAGTAGATTCTCCTCAGCAGTATATACTCCTCAGCAGTAGATTCTCCTCAGCAGTAGATTCTCCTCAGCAGTAGATTCTCCTCAGCAGTATATACTCCTCAGCAGTATATACTCCTCAGCAGTAGAGCCTCCTCAGCAGTAGATTCTCCTCAGCAGTAGAGCCTCCTCAGCAGTAGATTCTCCTCAGCAGTATATACTCCTCAGCAGTAGATTCTCCTCAGCAGTAGATTCTCCTCAGCAGTAGATTCTCCTCAGCAGTATATACTCCTCAGCAGTATATACTCCTCAGCAGTAGAGCCTCCTCAGCAGTAGATTCTCCTCAGCAGTAGAGCCTCCTCAGCAGTATATACTCCTCAGCAGTAGATTCTCCTCAGCAGTATATACTCCTCAGCAGTAGATTCTCCTCAGCAGTAGATTCTCCTCAGCAGTAGATACTCCTCAGCAGTAGAGCCTCCTCAGCAGTAGATTCTCCTCAGCAGTAGATTCTCCTCAGCAGTAGATTCTCCTCAGCAGTAGAGCCTCCTCAGCAGTAGAGCCTCCTCAGCAGTAGAGCCTCCTCAGCAGTAGAGCCTCCTCAGCAGTAGATTCTCCTCAGCAGGTAGAGTTTGTGTTTTGAGTCCAGTCCAGTTTGTGGTTCAGATGAACACCCAGGAACTTGTAAAGCCTAGTGTATACTTGTAAAGCCTAGTGTATACTTATAAAGCCTAGTGTATACTTGTAAAGCCTAGTGTATACTTATAAAGCCTAGTGTATACTTGCGCGGCGCTGCTTACGTTAGCGGTTGCGGTGGACCTACGCAAGCACAATTTAATTTATACTCCTTGCGGAGTTTTGAGGAGAATGTTGTAATCCCACAACCAACCACATGATGGCGATCTCACAGGAGTTGCTTGAGAAACCAAAGCGGTCTCATTTACGCTGCTACTTTCTCCTCTTCAGAACAAAAACATGAACAAACCGAGCTGTTTGAGATCATTACATGTGTTTCTACTGTAGGTTTATGTGGTAGTTCTATGGACTCATTATTTCTTAACTCATTTAACTGTGATGTGAATAAAGACACAGTTCTTGTTGGAAACATAGTTATTATTAAATAGTTTTCAGCACAAACAGCAAAACAATAAAAGTGGTAAATATCTGAGGCAAACATGAACAATTTATAAGTGCAGGAGGAATGGAACAGACGCGATAAGCACCGCGGTAAAGTGGGCCGCATCTTTCACCTCTGAAGTAAAACGGCCCGCATCGAGAGAAAAACAGTGCGCGTTTTGTTGATTATATCAGGCTCTGCCATGAGCCCAAACTACTTTTCCTTTGGTTCCTTCGAAGCTTGAAGCAGTCTGCTCCGAAGTGCCTCGTCCATTGTCCCTGCTGCAGCCCAAAACACACACACGGACCAATCACAGCGGAGCTTCCTTGCGGCGACCCTTACGTAGTTAGAACATTCGATGCTGCGCGGCAGGCAACGTAAAGGTGCGTTCAGACCAAACGCGTTTTCTGCGGCAAAATCGCGTCTGACGCGCGTCTTGGGACGCTTGTGACAAATTGTGGCAGACGCTGTCACAGAGCATCTTGGAGGCGCGTCACATGCGTCCAGGACACTAGAGGGCAGCGTTCTGGAGGCGCGTCAAGGAAGAGCGTTTTGGGTCAGGCCTGCTCTGTTGCCAACACAACTCGGAGAGGGAAGGACACGGGAGCCAGGATTAAGGTAAAAAGTGTAAAATACGCTTTAATTAGGACATAAAAGTTAATTCTAATAACATGTGAGGCGAGAAATACCCCCCTCTATTGTCATATCGGAGGTCTGTTTAGAACATAGAACATTGTCGGACTTTTCTCCAGTGCAGAGAGCGGGGGTCGGGCAGTGCTCAAGCCGAGAAAGAGCGTCTCAACGCAGGGACACATTAGTGGAGCTCTCACAATCTTAATTCTGAGAATCCGAGGCTTTTGTTACGGACTTTCTCTGTTATAACAATTGTATTGGCAGTAATCATTCGTTTTTACAAAGTCATATTGTATGTAAACAATGCACATACTCCTTGAGAGGGGTTGGACGCCTCACTTTTCTGGTGTTTCCCGCGGGGAGAGGCGGCGAGCTGGGGTGGCCATACTCATTGCCCCCCATCTCAGCCGCCACGTGTTGGAGTTCTCCCCGGTGAATGAGAGGGTCGCGTCCCTCCGCCTTCGGGTGGGGGACAAGTCTCTCATTGTTGTGACGGCCTACGGGCCTAACAGCAGTGCAGAGTACCCGGCCTTCTTGGAGTCCTTGGGAGGGGTACTGGACAGTGCACCGCCCGGGGACTCCGTTATTCTCCTGGGGGACTTCAACGCCCATGTGGGGGACGCCAGTGACACTTGGAGAGGGGTGATCGGGAAGAACGGCCCCCCTGATCTGAACCCGAGCGGTGTTCAGTTGTTGGACTTCTGTGCCAGTCACGGTTTGTCCATCACAAACACCATGTTTGAGCACAAGGGTGTCCACCAGTGCACGTGGCACCTGGACACCCTAGGCCGGAGGTCGATGATCGACTTTGTTGTTGTATCATCTGACCTTCGACCGCGTGTCTCTGACACTCGGGTAAAGAGAGGGGCGGAACTGTCAACCGATCATCACCTGGTTGTGAGTTGGATCCGCTGCAGGGGAGGAAGCCGGTCAGACCTGGCAGGCCCAAGCGTGTAGTGAGGGTCTGCTGGGAACGTCTCGCTGAGCCCCCTAGCAGACGGACTTTCAACTCACACCTCCGGGAGAGCTTCTCCCAGGTCCCGGCAGAGGAGGGGGACATTGAATCCGAGTGGACCATGTTTTCTTCCTCTATCGCCGATGCGGCGGCTCGTAGCTGTGGTCGCAAGGTCTCTGGTGCTGGTCCCTGCGGCAATCCCCGAACCCGGTGGTGGACACCGGCAGTAAGGGATGCCGTCAGACTGAAGAAGGAGTCCTATCGAGCAATGATGGTTCATGGGACTCCTGAGGCAGTAGTCCAGTACCGGCAGGCCAAGCGCGCCGCGGCCCGGGCTGTTGCAGAGGAAAAAACCATGGAGCAAGACTATCGGTCGGCCTCGAAGACATTCTGGCAAACCGTCCGGCACCTCAGGAGGGGGAAGCAGTTCTTTGCCAACACTGTGTACGGTGCGGGTGGAGGGCTGCTGACCGCAACTGGGGATATTGTCGGGCGGTGGAAGGAATACTTTTAGGTTCTCCTCAATCCCCCCGTCACGTCCTCCGCCCCGGAGGCAGAGGCTGAGGATGTTGAGGCGGATACTTCCATCTCAGGTTGGCAGTCTCCATGGTGGCAAGGCTCTGGGAGTGGATGAGATCCGTCCTGACTATCTAAAGTCTCTGGATGTTGTAGGACTGTCTTGGCTGACACGTCTCTGCAGCATCGCGTGGCGATCGGGGGCGGTGCCAATGGAGTGGCAGACCGGGGTGGTGGTCCCTCTCTACAAGAAGGGGGACCGGAGGGTGTGTTCCAATTATCATGGGATCACACTCCTCAGCCTCCCCGGTAAGGTCTACTCCAAGGTACTGGAGAGGAGCCTACGGCCGATGGTCGAATCTCGGATTCAGGAGGAGCAGTGTGGTTTTCGTCCCGGTCGTGGAACACTGGACCAGCTCTATACTCTCCATCGGATACTCGAGGGTTCATGGGAGTTCGCCCAACCTGTCCACATGTGCTTTGTGGATTTGGAGAAGGCGTTCGACCGTGTTCCCCGGGGTGTACTTTGGGGGTTCTCCGGGAGTACGGGGTCCGGGGTCCTCTGCTGAGGGCCGACCGGTCCCTGTATGACTGTTGACGAGGAGGTGGTTCATCTCTTTGGTCTCCTATTGATGAGGCGGTGGTTCATCTCTTTGGTCTCCTGTTGATGAGGAGGTGGTTCATCTCTTTGGTCTCCTGTTGATGAGGAGGTGGTTCATCTCCTTGGTCTTCTGTTGATGAGGAGGTGGTTCATCTTTTTTGTCTCCTGTTGATGAGGAGGTGGTTCATCTCTTTGGTCTCCTGTTGATGAGGAGGTGGTTCATCTCCTTGGTCTTCCTCATAGGTACAGCGGTCTCTGACATAAAGTAGCAGAGGTACAGCTGTCTCTGACATAAAGGAGCATAGGTACAGCTGTCATGTCAGTCAAAAACCTTAGATGCCTTGTCTAGAAAACAAACTGTTTTTTTCTCTTTTAGTTGTTTAAAAGTTCCTTCCAGAGAGAGACCAGAGAGAGACCAGAGAGAGAGACCAGAGAGAGAGACCAGAGAGAGACCAGAAAGAGACCAGAGAGAGAGACCAGAGAGAGACCAGAGAGAGACCAGAAAGAGACCAGAGAGAGACCAGTGAGAGAGAGACCAGAGAGAGAGACCAGAGAGAGACCAGAGAGAGACCAGAGAGAGAGAGACCAGAGAGAGACCAGTGAGAGAGAGACCAGAGAGAGACCAGAGAGAGAGAGACCAGCGAGAGAGACCAGAGAGAGAGAGACCAGCGAGAGAGACCAGAGAGAGAGAGACCAGAGAGAGAGACCAGAGAGAGAGAGACCAGAGAGCGAGAGACCAGAGAGAGAGAGAGAGAGACCAGAGAGAGAGAGACCAGAGAGAGAGAGACCAGAAAGAGACAAGAGAGAGACCAGAGAGAGAGAGACCAGAAAGAGACAAGAGAGAGACCAGAGAGAGAGACCAGAGAGAGAGACCATCTAAAACCATCAGTTTTTCCAATGTGGTTTTACTGCAAATGGCAAATAAATGAATCTGAATCTGAAAACAACAGTCTTTGCTCAATGATAAAGCACACGTCTGTAAATACATTTATTGGAGAAATGACACAAAAGTTATTATTCTGAATGACATCAATTCCTTTACAAAACACTGTTTGGACCGAGGACTGTCTCTCCAGGAGGACACACATCTCTCCCCGGGTCAGAGGGCAAGGGTCAGGGGTCAGAGGGCTAGTGTCAGGGGTCAGAGGGCTAGGGTCAGGGGTCAGAGGGCTAGTGTCAGGGGTCAGAGGGCTAGGGTCAGGGGTCAGAGGGCTAGTGTCAGGGGTCAGAGGGCTAGGGTCAGGGGTCAGACATGTGCCTCAGCTACAGACTTCAGGAACATGTTTCAATGTTGAACAAACCAGGAACCTCTGACTCCCTCTGGTCTCTCCCTCTGGGCTCTCCCTCTGGGCTCTCCCTCTGGGCTCTCCCTCTGGGCTCTCCCTCTGGGCTCTCCCTCTGGGCTCTCCCTCTGGGCTCTCTCTCTGGGCTCTCTCTCTGGGCTCTCCCTCTGGGCTCTCCCTCTGGGCTCTCCCTCTGGGCTCTCCCTCTGGGCTCTCCCTCTGGGCTCTCCCTCTGGGCTCTCCCTCTGGGCTCTCCCTCTGGGCTTGCTCTCTGGGCTCTCCCTCTGGGCTTGCTCTCTGGGCTCTCTCTCTGGGCTCTCTCTCTGGTCTCTCCTTTTCCCTTTTTTCATCCAAAAATACTTTGAAGCAGATTCCTGAACTTGCATGGTTCTCACTGGTTCCCGGAGTGAGCCACTACAAGGTCTGTGGAACGGTGAGTCTTTGCCGGGTCTGAGGCCTGGTCCTGGACTCTGGGATGGTCCTGGTCTCGGTCCTGGCCTCTGAGATGGTCCTGGACTCTAGGGTCTCTGGAGGCTGAGGTGTTGTTGCTTCTCCCACGAGTTCACGGAGAAACTTGAACTTGGACAAGAAGAGCCGCCACACCACAAACCAGCCTGAAGGGGGCACCAGAGAGCAGAGGGAGTTCAGCTTGTTCAGCTTTAAACATGTGTTATTCAGACTAAAGTTACAGACCTGAGCTTTAAACATGTGTTATTCAGACTAAAGTTACAGACCTGAGCTTTAAACATGTGTTATTCAGACTAAAGTTACAGACCTGAGCTTTAAACATGTGTTATTTAGACTAAAGTTACAGACCTGAGCTTTAAACATGTGTTATTCAGACTAAAGTTACAGACCTGAGCTTTAAACATGTGTTATTCAGACTAAAGTTACAGACCTGAGCTTTAAACATGTGTTATTCAGACTAAAGTTACAGACCTGAGCTTTAAACATGTGTTATTCAGACTAAAGTTACAGACCTGAGCTTTAAACATGTGTTATTTAGACTAAAGTTACAGACCTGAGCTTTAAACATGTGTTATTCAGACTAAAGTTACAGACCTGAGCTTTAAACATGTGTTATTCAGACTAAAGTTACAGACCTGAGCTTTAAACATGTGTTATTCAGACTAAAGTTACAGACCTGAGCTTTAAACATGTGTTATTCAGACTAAAGTTACAGACCTGAGCTTTAAACATGTGTTATTTAGACTAAAGTTACAGACCTGAGCTTTAAACATGTGTTATTCAGACTAAAGTTACAGACCTGAGCTTTAAACATGTGTTATTCAGACTAAAGTTACAGACCTGAGCTTTAAACATGTGTTATTCAGACTAAAGTTACAGACCTGAGCTTTAAACATGTGTTATTCAGACTAAAGTTACAGACCTGAGCTTTAAACATGTGTTATTCAGACTAAAGTTACAGACCTGAGCTTTAAACATGTGTTATTCAGACTAAAGTTACAGACCTGAGCTTTAAACATGTGTTATTCAGACTAAAGTTACAGACCTGAGCTTTAAACATGTGTTATTTAGACTAAAGTTACAGACCTGAGCTTTAAACATGTGTTATTCAGACTAAAGTTACAGACCTGAGCTTTAAACATGTGTTATTCAGACTAAAGTTACAGACCTGAGCTTTAAACATGTGTTATTTAGACTAAAGTTACAGACCTGAGCTTTAAACATGTGTTATTCAGACTAAAGTTACAGACCTGAGCTTTAAACATGTGTTATTCAGACTAAAGTTACAGACCTGAGCTTTAAACATGTGTTATTCAGACTAAAGTTACAGACCTGAGCTTTAAACATGTGTTATTCAGACTAAAGTTACAGACCTGAGCTTTAAACATGTGTTATTCAGACTAAAGTTACAGACCTGAGCTTTAAACATGTGTTATTTAGACTAAAGTTACAGACCTGAGCTTTAAACATGTGTTATTCAGACTAAAGTTACAGACCTGAGCTTTAAACATGTGTTATTCAGACTAAAGTTACAGACCTGAGCTTTAAACATGTGTTATTTAGACTAAAGTTACAGACCTGAGCTTTAAACATGTGTTATTTAGACTAACGTTACAGACCTGAGCTTTAAACAGTTCTTACCAAGGACCATGAAGAGCAGAGCACAGACCAGTGTGGCCACTATGACCAGGAGCGTGAGCCCCACGCTCTGCCACATGGTGCTGCCTTCACCAGAGGCAGCAGCTGTGTACACAGGTGTGGGTCCGGGGTCCACTCAGCAGTAGGGTCTGGGGTCCACTCAGCAGTAGGATCTGGGGTCCACTCAGCAGTAGGATCTGGGGTCCACTCAGCAGTAGGCTCTGGGGTCCACTCAGCAGTAGGATCTGGGGTCCACTCAGCAGTAGGCTCTGGGGTCCACTCAGCAGTAGGCTCTGGGGTCCACTCAGCAGTAGGCTCTGGGGTCCACTCAGCAGTAGGCTCTGGGGTCCACTCAGCAGTAGGCTCTGGGGTCCACTCAGCAGTAGGCTCTGGGGTCCACTCAGCAGTAGGGTCCGGGGTCCACTCAGCAGTAGGGTCCGGGGTCCACTCAGCAGTAGGCTCTGGGGTCCACTCAGCAGTAGGGTCTGGGGTCCACTCAGCAGTAGGCTCTGGGGTCCACTCAGCAGTAGGCTCTGGGGTCCACTCAGCAGTAGGCTCTGGGGTCCACTCAGCAGTAGGCTCTGGGGTCCACTCAGCAGTAGGCTCTGGGGTCCACTCAGCAGTAGGCTCTGGGGTCCACTCAGCAGTAGGCTCTGGGGTCCACTCAGCAGTAGGCTCTGGGGTCCACTCAGCAGTAGGCTCTGGGGTCCACTCAGCAGTAGGCTCTGGGGTCCACTCAGCAGTAGGCTCTGGGGTCCACTCAGCAGTAGGGTCTGGGGTCCACTCAGCAGTAGGCTCTGGGTCCACTCAGGTAGGCTCGGGGTCCACTCAGCAGTAGGCTCTGGGGTCCACTCAGCAGTAGGCTCTGGGGTCCACTCAGCAGTAGGCTCTGGGGTCCACTCAGCAGTAGGGTCTGGGGTCCACTCAGCAGTAGGCTCTGGGGTCCACTCAGCAGTAGGCTCTGGGGTCCACTCAGCAGTAGGCTCTGGGGTCCACTCAGCAGTAGGCTCTGGGGTCCACTCAGCAGTAGGTCTGGGGTCCACTCAGCAGTAGGCTCTAGGGGGTCCACTCAGCAGTAGGATCCGGGGTCCACTCAGCAGTAGGCTCTGGGGTCCACTCAGCAGTAGGCTCTGGGGTCCACTCAGCAGTAGGGTCCGGGGTCCACTCAGCAGTAGGCTCTGGGGTCCACTCAGCAGTAGGCTCTGGGGTCCACTCAGCAGTAGGCTCTGGGGTCCACTCAGCAGTAGGCTCTGGGGTCCACTCAGCAGTAGGGTCCGGGGTCCACTCAGCAGTAGGCTCTGGGGTCCACTCAGCAGTAGGCTCTGGGGTCCACTCAGCAGTAGGGTCCGGGGTCCACTCAGCAGTAGGCTCTGGGGTCCACTCAGCAGTAGGCTCTGGGGTCCACTCAGCAGTAGGGTCCGGGGTCCACTCAGCAGTAGGGTCTGGGGTCCACTCAGCAGTAGGCTCTGGGGTCCACTCAGCAGTAGGCTCTGGGGTCCACTCAGCAGTAGGGTCCGGGGTCCACTCAGCAGTAGGCTCTGGGGTCCACTCAGCAGTAGGCTCTGGGGTCCACTCAGCAGTAGGCTCTGGGGTCCACTCAGCAGTAGGCTCTGGGGTCCACTCAGCAGTAGGCTCTGGGGTCCACTCAGCAGTAGGCTCTGGGGTCCACTCAGCAGTAGGATCTGGGGTCCGTAGCCTCCGGTGGCTAGCTGCGGTTAGCTTCTCCGCGGAACCAGCGCTGGAATATGGATTTAAATCGGCGGAAAGAGGAGAAACCCGCGGGACTGTGGCTCTGAGGGTCGTGGAGGAGACAGGTCCAAACACACGAGGCTACATCCCCGCAAACACCGCTCAGACCGCGCAGATTCACAGCAAATACACAGCAGAAGTGGGTTACAACAACAGACGTAACACATGCCCACTGCGCATGCGCGGACGAAACTCAACTTCTATGTTTAAAGCTCAGGTCTGTAACTTTAGTCTGAATAACACATGTTTAAAGCTCAGGTCTGTAACTTTAGTCTGAATAACACATGTTTAAAGCTCAGGTCTGTAACTTTAGTCTGAATAACACATGTTTAAAGCTCAGGTCTGTAACTTTAGTCTGAATAACACATGTTTAAAGCTCAGGTCTGTAACTTTAGTCTGAATAACACATGTTTAAAGCTCAGGTCTGTAACTTTAGTCTGAATAACACATGTTTAAAGCTCAGGTCTGTAACTTTAGTCTGAATAACACATGTTTAAAGCTCAGGTCTGTAACTTTAGTCTAAATAACACATGTTTAAAGCTCAGGTCTGTAACTTTAGTCTGAATAACACATGTTTAAAGCTCAGGTCTGTAACTTTAGTCTGAATAACACATGTTTAAAGCTCAGGTCTGTAACTTTAGTCTGAATAACACATGTTTAAAGCTCAGGTCTGTAACTTTAGTCTGAATAACACATGTTTAAAGCTCAGGTCTGTAACTTTAGTCTAAATAACACATGTTTAAAGCTCAGGTCTGTAACTTTAGTCTGAATAACACATGTTTAAAGCTCAGGTCTGTAACTTTAGTCTGAATAACACATGTTTAAAGCTCAGGTCTGTAACTTTAGTCTGAATAACACATGTTTAAAGCTCAGGTCTGTAACTTTAGTCTAAATAACACATGTTTAAAGCTCAGGTCTGTAACTTTAGTCTGAATAACACATGTTTAAAGCTCAGGTCTGTAACTTTAGTCTGCATAATATGGAGCTATTATTGTTTCAATAATATTTGTGCGCGCGTAACCAGATTTGTGTGTGCGTACCCAGATTTGTGTGTGCGTAACCAGATTTGTGCGTGCGTAACCAGATTTGTGTGTGTGTAAAAGAAATATTTGTGCATGTGTAAATAGATTTGTATGTACGTATCAAGATTTGTGTGTGCGTAAAAAGATTTGTGTGTGCGTAAAAAGATTTGTGTGTGCGTAGAAAGATTTGTGTGTGTGTAAAGAAAAAAAAAAGTACGTTTTACACACAAGTTTTTTTTTTACACACGAATCTTTTGACGTAGTCCTGCCTTCGCAGATTCGCAAGTGTAACTTGGACTGTGTGCGTGCGTAAACAGATTTGTGTGTGTGTGTAATTTGACATTTGTATCTGTAGCAGAACAATCTGTGTGTGTAAAATAACCGCGTTGTACAAAGAGAAGAACGAAAAAAGCCTAAGTGCTACGCACAGGCTCTGTTTTACACACTAAATTCCACGTTGGCTACACAGAAATTTTCCCCATAGAACTCAAAGTAAACTAAAACAGCTGACAGATAACCTACAGCTTTCATAAAGGTCGGATTTTGTGGGAATTTTAGTGTTCCTTGTCATCCTGAACTTTTCTTCTTCTTAAATCCTTCGGTTTTCTCTACCTACACTTGTTGGTTTGCTTGCGTGTAGGTAATAACCAGCTACAACAGCACCATCTGCTGGTGTACTGCTAGAACAACCACATTACACTTACAAATCTTTTTGACACACGCTTGGCGGCAGAGGTGTGTCAAAAAGAGATTCGTGTGTAAAACAGAGCCTGTGCGTAGCACTTAGGCTTTTTCCCGTTCTTCTCTTTGTACAACGCGGTTATTTACACACAGATTGTTCTGTTACAGATACAAATGTCAAATTACACACACACAAATCTGTTTACGCACGCACACAGTCCAAGTTACACTTGCGAATCTGCGAAGGCAGGACTGCGTCAAAAGATTCGTGTGTAAAAAAAAAACTTGTGTGTAAAACTTACTTTTTTTTTTTCTTTTCACACACACACAAATCTTTCTACGCACACACAAACCTTTTTTTACGCACACACAAATCTTGATACGTACATACAAATCTATTTACACACGCACAAAAATATTTCTTTTACACACACACACAAATCTGGTTACGCACGCACAAATCTGGTTACGCACACACAAATCTGGTTACGCACGCACAAATCTGGTTACGCACGCACAAATCTGGTTACGCACGCACAAATCTTTTTACGCACACACAAATATTATTGAAACAATAATAGCTCCATAGAATAACACATGTTTAAAGCTCAGGTCTGTAACTTTAGTCTAAATAACACATGTTTAAAGCTCAGGTCTGTAACTTTAGTCTAAATAACACATGTTTACAGCTCAGGTCTGTAACTTTAGTCTGAATAACACATGTTTAAAGCTCAGGTCTGTAACTTTAGTCTGAATAACACATGTTTAAAGCTCAGGTCTGTAACTTTAGTCTGAATAACACATGTTTAAAGCTCAGGTCTGTAACTTTAGTCTGAATAACACATGTTTAAAGCTCAGGTCTGTAACTTTAGTCTAAATAACACATGTTTAAAGCTCAGGTCTGTAACTTTAGTCTGAATAACACATGTTTAAAGCTCAGGTCTGTAACTTTAGTCTGAATAACACATGTTTAAAGCTCAGGTCTGTAACTTTAGTCTGAATAACACATGTTTAAAGCTCAGGTCTGTAACTTTAGTCTGAATAACACATGTTTAAAGCTCAGGTCTGTAACTTTAGTCTGAATAACACATGTTTAAAGCTCAGGTCTGTAACTTTAGTCTGAATAACACATGTTTAAAGCTCAGGTCTGTAACTTTAGTCTGAATAACACATGTTTAAAGCTCAGGTCTGTAACTTTAGTCTGAATAACACATGTTTAAAGCTCAGGTCTGTAACTTTAGTCTAAATAACACATGTTTAAAGCTCAGGTCTGTAACTTTAGTCTGAATAACACATGTTTAAAGCTCAGGTCTGTAACTTTAGTCTGAATAACACATGTTTAAAGCTCAGGTCTGTAACTTTAGTCTGAATAACACATGTTTAAAGCTCAGGTCTGTAACTTTAGTCTGAATAACACATGTTTAAAGCTCAGGTCTGTAACTTTAGTCTGAATAACACATGTTTAAAGCTCAGGTCTGTAACTTTAGTCTGAATAACACATGTTTAAAGCTCAGGTCTGTAACTTTAGTCTGAATAACACATGTTTAAAGCTCAGGTCTGTAACTTTAGTCTGAATAACACATGTTTAAAGCTCAGGTCTGTAACTTTAGTCTGAATAACACATGTTTAAAGCTCAGGTCTGTAACTTTAGTCTAAATAACACATGTTTAAAGCTCAGGTCTGTAACTTTAGTCTGAATAACACATGTTTAAAGCTCAGGTCTGTAACTTTAGTCTGAATAACACATGTTTAAAGCTCAGGTCTGTAACTTTAGTCTGAATAACACATGTTTAAAGCTCAGGTCTGTAACTTTAGTCTAAATAACACATGTTTAAAGCTCAGGTCTGTAACTTTAAACATGTGTTATTTAGACTAAAGCTCAGTGTTATTTTTGGGCATTTGTCTCTCACTCCACACAGAGATGGGAGGGGCCAGTACAGGAGGCACATGCCAGACAGACCTATTGTACATATTTTTAGTGGTAGGGGAAACCGGAGTACCCGGAGGAAACCTACGCAGACACGGGGAGAACATGCAAACTCCACACAGAAAGGCCCTGGTCCGATCGGGATTCGAACCCAAGACCTTCTTGCTGAGAGGCGAGAGTGCTATCCACTCAGCCACCGTGCCGCCCAGGACTACAGACACAGGTACCTAAAGGACTACAGACACAGGTACCTAAAGGACTACAGACCAAGGTACCTAAAGGACAACAGACACAGGTACCTAAAGGACAACAGACACAGGTACCTAAAGGACAACAGACACAGGTACCTAAAGGACTACAGACCAAGGTACCTAAAGGACAACAGACACAGGTACCTAAAGGACAACAGACACAGGTACCTAAAGGACAACAGACACAGGTACCTAAAGGACAACAGACACAGGTACCTAAAGGACAACAGACACAGGTACCTAAAGGACAACAGACACAGGTACCTAAAGGACAACAGACACAGGTACCTAAAGGACAACAGACACAGGTACCTAAAGGACAACAGACACAGGTACCTAAAGGACAACAGACACAGGTACCTAAAGGACAACAGACACAGGTACCTAAAGGACAAACAGACACAGGTACCTAAAGACTACAGACACAGGTACTAAAGGACTACAGACTCAGGTACCTAAAGGACAACAGACACAGGTACCTAAAGGACAACAGACACAGGTACCTAAAGGACAACAGAACAGGTACCTAAAGGACAACAGACACAGGTACCTAAAGGACTACAGACACAGGTACCTAAAGGACTACAGACACAGGTACCTAAAGGACAACAGACACAGGTACCTAAAGGACAACAGACACAGGTACCTAAAGGACAACAGACACAGGTACCTAAAGGAGCTACAGACACAGGTACCTAAAGGACAACAGACACAGGTACCTAAAGGACTACAGACACAGGTACCTAAAGGACAACAGACACAGGTACCTAAAGGACAACAGACACAGGTACCTAAAGGACAACAGACACAGGTACCTAAAGGACAACAGACACAGGTACCTAAAGGACTACAGACCAGGTACCTAAAGGACAACAGACACAGGTACCTAAAGGACAACAGACACAGGTACCTAAAGGACAACAGACCAGCCAGGTACCTAAAGGACAACAGACACAGGTACCTAAAGGACTACAGACACAGGTACCTAAAGGACTACAGACACAGGTACCTAAAGGACACAGACACAGGTACCTAAAGGACTACAGACACAGGTACCTAAAGGACTACAGACACAGGTACCTAAAGGACTACAGACCCAGGTACCTAAAGGACAACAGACACAGGTACCTAAAGGACTACAGACCAAGGTACCTAAAGGACAACAGACACAGGTACCTAAAGGACTACAGACTCAGGTACCTAAAGGACTACAGACTCAGGTACCTAAAGGACTACAGACACAGGTACCTAAAGGACAACAGACACAGGTACCTAAAGGACTACAGACCAAGGTACCTAAAGGACAACAGACACAGGTACCTAAAGGACTACAGACCCAGGTACCTAAAGGACTACAGACTCAGGTACCTAAAGGACTACAGACTCAGGTACCTAAAGGACAACAGACACAGGTACCTAAAGGACTACAGACACAGGTACCTAAAGGACAACAGACACAGATACCTAAAGGACTACAGACACAGGTACCTAAAGGACTACAGACCAAGGTACCTAAAGGACAACAGACACAGGTACCTAAAGGACTACAGACCAAGGTACCTAAAGGACAACAGACCAGGTACCTAAAGGACAACAGACACAGGTACCTAAAGGACAACAGACACAGTACCTAAAGGACTACAGACACAGGTACCTAAAGGACTACAGACACAGGTACCTAAAGGACAACAGACACAGATACCTAAAGGACTACAGACTCAGGTACCTAAAGGACAACAGACACAGGTACCTAAAGGACTACAGACTCAGGTACCTAAAGGACAACAGACACAGGTACCTAAAGGACAACAGACACAGGTACCTAAAGGACAACAGACACAGGTACCTAAAGGACTACAGACACAGGTACCTAAAGGACTACAGACTCAGGTACCTAAAGGACAACAGACACAGGTACCTAAAGGACTACAGACTCAGGTACCTAAAGGACTACAGACCAAGGTACCTAAAGGACAACAGACACAGGTACCTAAAGGACTACAGACCCAGGTACCTAAAGGACAACAGACACAGGTACCTAAAGGACAACAGACACAGGTACCTAAAGGACAACAGACACAGGTACCTAAAGGACAACAGACACAGGTACCTAAAGGACAACAGACACAGGTACCTAAAGGACAACAGACACAGGTACCTAAAGGACAACAGACACAGGTACCTAAAGGACAACAGACACAGGTACCTAAAGGACTACAGACACAGGTACCTAAAGGACTACAGACCCAGGTACCTAAAGGACAACAGACACAGGTACCTAAAGGACAACAGACACAGGTACCTAAAGGACAACAGACACAGGTACCTAAAGGACAACAGACACAGGTACCTAAAGGATAACAGACACAGGTACCTAAAGGACAACAGACACAGGTACCTAAAGGACAACAGACACAGGTACCTAAAGGACAACAGACACAGGTACCTAAAGGACAACAGACACAGGTACCTAAAGGACAACAGACACAGGTACCTAAAGGACAACAGACACAGGTACCTAAAGGACAACAGACACAGATACCTAAAGGACTACAGACTCAGGTACCTAAAGGACAACAGACACAGGTACCTAAAGGACTACAGACTCAGGTACCTAAAGGACAACAGACACAGATACCTAAAGGACTACAGACACAGGTACCTAAAGGACTACAGACCAAGGTACCTAAAGGACAACAGACACAGGTACCTAAAGGACAACAGACACAGGTACCTAAAGGACAACAGACACAGGTACCTAAAGGACAACAGACACAGATACCTAAAGGACTACAGACTCAGGTACCTAAAGGACAACAGACACAGGTACCTAAAGGACTACAGACTCAGGTACCTAAAGGACTACAGACCAAGGTACCTAAAGGACAACAGACACAGGTACCTAAAGGACTACAGACACAGGTACCCAAAGGACAACAGACACAGGTACCTAAAGGACAACAGACACAGGTACCTAAAGGACAACAGACACAGGTACCTAAAGGACAACAGACACAGGTACCTAAAGGACAACAGACACAGGTACCTAAAGGACAACAGACACAGGTACCTAAAGGACAACAGACACAGGTACCTAAAGGACAACAGACACAGGTACCTAAAGGACAACAGACACAGGTACCTAAAGGACAACAGACACAGGTACCTAAAGGACTACAGACTCAGGTACCTAAAGGACAACAGACCCAGAACCCAGAATGAGAAAGGCCTTCAGCTTGAACTGATACTTGTGAGCGATAACAACGATTGGAGGAGAACAGACACTGTTTCAGCTTAATGGAGGAATACCATATGGTGGAAGGAGGTACTGTGGCCCTCCCCACATCTGAGTATATGGCCTTAGCAGCATACGGAGGAAACCTGACGCAGGCAGAACATGCAAACTGCCCTCAGAAAGGCCATGTCTGGAGGAGGAATCGAACACAAAGGAACAGTCCACATTCTGAACCAGGATCACGTCACCTGTTTACTTTCACTGTGTCCCCGCCCCCACTCTGACGTCACCAGCTCATTTGCCTATTCACCTCAGCATGCGGCTCCTCTTGGAACGGAGCAGGGTCGCGTCTGAATCTACAGCACACGTCTTCTTCTTGCCCACGAGCTGCTCTGATCACAGTGACCTCTGACCTCTCTGATCACTGTGACCTTCCAGGACACGTCACAGCTCCCCTGCGTCGCATTCTTTACTCCGCAGCCACAAAAGGAGGAAAAGGATACAGAAAAGGCAGCACGTGTGTCGGATTTGGATGCAGCCTATAACGCTATGAGGACACAGGAGAGAGAGGAGCGTCCCGTAGACTGCAAACACTTCCGTATGGCACCGTAGACTGGGACCATAGACCAGGACCATAGACAGACCAGGTGCGGCACCAGGAACAGCGCTGAAAGTTTCCAGATTCCGACAGAAACGGGTCAGATTCAGGTAAAAGCTGATGGTGTCATTTCTCAAAGTTACGTACTTTCTTCAAGTACTGAACTCTAAAGCTGGGTCTGTGACTTTAAAGCTGGAGTCTGTGACTTTAAAGCTGGGTCTGTGACTTTAAAGCTGGGTCTGTGACTTTAAAGCTGGGGTCTGTGACTTTAAAGCTGGAGTCTGTGACTTTAAAGCTGGGGTCTGTGACTTTAAAGCTGGGGTCTGTGACTTTAAAGCTGGGTCTGTGACTTTAAAGCTGGGTCTGTGACTTTAAAGCTGGAGTCTGTGACTTTAAAGCTGGGTCTGTGACTTTAAAGCTGGGGTCTGTAACTTTAAAGCTGGGGTCTGTGACTTTAAAGCTGGGGTCTGTGACTTTAAAGCTGGAGTCTGTGACTTTAAAGCTGGGGTCTGTGACTTTAAAGCTGGGGTCTGTGACTTTAAAGCTGGGGTCTGTGACTTTAAAGCTGGAGTCTGTGACTTTAAAGCTGGGGTCTGTGACTTTAAAGCTGGGGTCTGTGACTTTAAAGCTGGGGTCTGTGACTTTAAAGCTGGGGTCTGTGACTTTAAAGCTGGGGTCTGTGACTTTAAAGCTGGGGTCTGTAACTTTAAAGCTGGGTCTGTGACTTTAAAGCTCGGGTCTGTGACTTTAAAGCTGGGGTCTGTGACTTTAAAGCTGGGGTCTGTGACTTTAAAGCTGGGGTCTGTGACTTTAAAGCTGTGGTCTGTGACTTTAAAGCTGGGGTCTGTGACTTTAAAGCTGGGGTCTGTGACTTTAAAGCTGGGGTCTGTGACTTTAAAGCTGGGGTCTGTGACTTTAAAGCTGGGGTCTGTGACTTTAAAGCTGGAGTCTGTGACTTTAAAGCTGGGGTCTGTGACTTTAAAGCTGGGGTCTGTGACTTTAAAGCTGGGGTCTGTGACTTTAAAGCTGGGGTCTGTGACTTTAAAGCTGGGGTCTGTGACTTTAAAGCTGGGTCTGTGACTTTAAAGCTGGGTCTGTGACTTTAAAGCTGGGTCTGTGACTTTAAAGCTGGGGTCTGTGACTTTAAAGCTGGGGTCTGTAACTTTAAAGCTGGGGTCTGTGACTTTAAAGCTGGGGTTTGTGACTTTAAAGCTGGGGTCTGTAACTTTAAAGCTGGGGTCTGTGACTTTAAAGCTGGGGTCTGTAACTTTAAAGCTGGGTCTGTGGTGGAGAAATGTCGCATGGATAGAAAGAGATTTGTGCAAAGACAGAAATGTGAAACATGTTAAATGCAGGATTCATTATGTACCATAAACAGTTCAGATGTGTCCTCTGTGTTGTAGTGATGTCATCGCTACAGCTGTGGACATGAACTCTGACCTATGGGGGGAGAAACCCTCATCACGAGCTGAACAGCACAGAGTGAGCTGCTTCTACACATCTCTGATCCCTCTCCCCATTACACAATTATCACTACACATTACAAATACCATTACAATCACATTACACACACACATTACAACATCCACCCACCTTAACTCGCAAACACATTATCAACATTGACTCACACACTTCAACATCCACTTGCTATACTCTATTACTGGACGCCACCAACACATTTACCATAACAAGATTAGAACCCACTACATCCTATACAGTCTTCATCGTTAAACAGTCACAGAATGATACAGACCAACCATTCACACATCAATTAACACTCAACGATTACAGTCCACATTCTCCCTTGATTATTTTTTACGAAAATAATAATTATCTTTTTTTTTATATCAACTAGAATTATATAAATTCCAAATCCATTAGTCATTTTCACCATTACACAGCATTACACCCACACACATTAACCCCCTGCAAATTAACACACACACCCATTCCATCACATTCCACTCACATTACTCACACATTACTCACACCACACATGTACACCACTACATTAACCCAACTCTCATTACCACACCAATTACACACAACATTACCCTCAACATGTTCACCTCATTTAAACCCACATCGTTTCACATCCATCATTACACCACACATTACACACACACATTACACACACACATTACACACACATTACCACACACAATTACACACACATTACACACACATTACACCACACATTACACACCAATTACACACCCACATTAAACCACATTACACCAAATTACCCACTCACCTACTCCCAATCACACACTATCTCACTATCCTCTCACCTCATCTCCTCCCCTCTCTCTCCCCTATCTCTCTCCCCTCTCTCTTCCCTCCTCTCTCTCTCTCTCCCCTCTCTCTCCCCCCTCTCTCTCCCCTCTCTTCTCCCTCTCTCTCTCCCCTCTCTCTCCCCTCTCTCTCCCCTCTCTCTCCCCTCTCTCTCTCCCTCTCTCTCCCCTCTCTCTCCCTCTCTATCTCTCTCTCCCTCTCTCTCCCCTCTCTCTCTCCCTCTCTCTCTCCCCTCTCTCTCTCCCTCTCTCTCCTCTTCTCCTCTCTCTCTCCCTCTCTCTCTCCCCTTCTCTTCCCCTCTCTCTCCCCTTCTCTCCCTCCTCTCCTCCATTCCTCTCTCTCTCTCCCCTCTTCCTCCCCTCTTCTCTCCCCCCCTCTTCTCCCCTCTCTTCCCCTCTTCTCTTCCCCTCTCTCCCTCTCTCTCTCCCTCTCTATTCAGCTATATTACTTTCCCTCTCCTCTACCGCTTTTTCTTCTCGCTCCCCCTCGTTACCTATTGCTCGCTTATTTATACCCTATTCTCCCATATCTATCTCCCAATTCTACTATACATATATCTACTCTATATTCCCTCTATACCTATTTTCCTATAATATAATAGCATGCTCCCACTTATCATTACATCCGGTTCATCTTTTTACTACCCCCCAACGTACATATATACTTACCACCCTCATCACTCCTTCTTCTCCACACACCCCCTGGTTCCCCCCACATCCCATAAACGATAACATCCTTCCACCCATAAACCCTAAACCGAACATATAATCCCCTCAACACCAAACAAACCAATCTTCCAAACACCACCCCATGTCCCCTCATACCCTTACCCACTCCCCCTCAAAACAACTACCCATCCCCCTCATATACCCTATCCCTCCCCTCAAACCCTTCCCCCCCCCCCATCAAAACAATTCCCCTCCCCCCTCAAACAATGTTACCTCCCCCATACCCTACCCATACCCCCCCTCAATACATACACATACCCATCTAACACTACCCCTACCCATCAATTACCTACACCTTCCCCCATCAAAAATACACATCCCCCTCCATACACCGTCCACATCCCCCATCAAAACGCATACGCAGCTGCCCCCCCTCAAACCATTCACATTACCCCTCCATCAATATACGCATCCCCCCCCCCCCGCCCCCTATTAACTGCATTCTCCCGCATACAATATTCACCTGACCCCATCTAACATTACCACATTACCCCCTTCAATCCCTACCCCCTCTCCCCCCTCAAACCCTACCCTCCACCCTCAAACCATCCCCTCCCACTCGTAACCTACCCCTCCCCCCTCATACCCTACACCCTCCCCCCTCAAACCCTACACCTCCCCCCTCAAAACCTACCCCTCCCCCTCTTACAATACAATCCCTCTCAAACTACCCCTCCCCCCGCTCATTCCACCTTACCCTCCCCCCCTCCAAACCTACACCTCCCCCACTCAAATAACTACCCTCCCCCTCTTACTAACCATACGCCTCTAACCTACCCCTCCCCCTCCAAACCCTTACACCCTCCCATCATACACCTACACCTCTCATCAAAACACTACCCCTACCCCCCTCATCCTACCCCTCCCCGATCAAATCCCTACCCCTCCCCCCCTCCCATAACCTAACCCATTACTCCCTCAAAAACAATACCCATCCCCTCGAATCCCTACACCCTACCCCCTCAAAACCCTAACCATCCCCCTCCCCAAACCCTACCAGTCGCCCTCTCAAACCCTACACATAGCACCCTCAATCACTACAACCTCCCCATCATAAAATATCCCATCCCATCAAACGCTACCACCGACCCCCATCCAAACCTACCCCCCTCACCCCCCTCAATAAACTACACATACACCAACAACCATACCCCTACCCTCATAACCCTACACCTTCCCCCTCTAACAATAACACCCTACCCATCATTACAATACACATCCACCCCTAAACCCTGACCCATCCCATCAAACTCTAACAGACCAATGTCTCCCTACCTACAAATTATCCATTACCCCCACCCCATCCTCCTAAGCCCATCACTCCCCTTAACATACTTCACCATTCCACCAAACCCCTCCTCTTAATCTTTTGCCCCTCCCCATTGATACACAGAGTAATTACACATGTACCCCTTCGACCTATTTTCTCCTAACCTTCCTATAAATCCTACACCTTTCCTCACCTCATACACCTTTTTCACCACTCCTAACAATTATCCACACCCCACCCTCCACCCTATCTTTCCAAAAATAAACCTGACCACCAAAATATTCATCTTCTTAACGATAAATCTCCTCATTTTCTCATATACTATACCATTCCTTTAACCCCTAGTCACCTTCTTACTATTACCCCATATCACCTCTCACTCACTTTTTCACTCCTCATTACTTTTTCATTTCAACCTCCTCTGTACCCAGCCATCCTAACCCTCTTCTCCCGCCAATATCTTATCACAATTCCACATATCATTCGTACCTTCCCTTCTTTTTTCTTTTCCCCGCTATCCATAACCACCCTTTTACTATTACCATTTACTCCATATTACATATCCAATTTTAATATACACACATCCATCATATCCATCTTTCATTAATCCTAACATCCATTACCTTAAACACCTACATCTTCACATGCCAATCCACATATTATTTTTTTCCCACATAACCTCCCCCAAACCACACAATTTTAATCCCACCACAAAGCATCATACCACAGATACTTATACCACCCAACTATAGAAATCTCACCCAATTACCTTACCAGCATCCTTCCTAAACCTACATGTAATTTTATCTTAATACAAACTTACCCATCTACATACTACCAAACTTACCCATATAATAATACCAAACTTACCCATATACACATACCCAATACACATAAATATACCCACCTCCCCATTATACCATTCTACCAAACTTACCATTTACATACATACCCAAACTTACACCCCCATATACATAATACCCAAGACGTACCCATCTTCATAATACAAAACTTACCCATATACATTATAACCAAACTTACCCATATAATAATACAAAATTACCCAATTACATACTACCAAACTTACCCCATATACCATACATACCATACTTACCCATACTACATAATACCAACTGTTTACCCCACTCTACAATACTACCCACCTTACCCATATACATAATACCAAACTTACCCAATTACATATACTAACTTACCATCTACATACTACCAAACTTACCCATTTACTACTTCCAAAATTCCATATAATTATACAAAACTTACCCAATTACATACTACTAACTTCCCTTATAATAATACAAACTTACCATCTACTTACTACCCCAAACTTACCCATAATACATAATACCCCAAACTCTTAACCATCTCACATACCTCCCAAACTTACCCCCCCTTATACCATAATTACCCCAAACTTACCCATATTCATAATACACCAAAACTTACCAATATACCTTACTACCATAACTTACCCAATATACATACTATCCAATCTTAACTCCATATACCATAATACCAAACTTAACCCATCCTACATACTACCAAACTTACCCATATACCATAATTCCCATACTTAACCATCTTCATACTATCCAATACTGACAACATTGTGACCTTAATACCCAAACTTAACCATCTACATACTACCCAACTTACCCATATACATAATACCAAACTTACCCATCTAACATACTACCAAACTTACACATATACATAATACCATTAACTTAACCCTTTTACATTATGCCCCCATACTTACCCCATATACATAATACCAAACTTACCCCATATGTATAACACCAAACGTACCATCATACTTACTACCCAAACTGCCCCTTTAACATACATGACTACCTAAACTTATCCTTATTCCGTAATACCCAAACTTAAATATTCATACTACATAATTACCCATATACATAATACCAATATTACCCATCCTAACTATCATTATACCCCAAACTTACCCCATAATACATACTACCAAACTTACCCATATACATAATACCAAACTTTACCCATTTACTTATTACCCCCAAACTTACCCATATACCATAATACCAAACATTACCATATACATACTACCCAAACTACCATTACTTATTACACAAATCTTACCCCCTTATACATAATACCCCAAACTTACCATTTACATAATACCAAACTTACCCATAAATACTTACCCAAACTATACCCCATTTACAATATACAACTTACCCATATACTATAATACCAAACTTAACCAATTACATATACCCAAACTTACCATATACATAATACAAACTTTACCCCATATAACATAATGTGCCAAACTTACCCATTTACTACTACCCAAACTTACCCCATAAAATACTACCCAAGCTTAACCCCTTTACATAATACCCCTAACTTTACCATATACATAATACCCAAGTGTGTCCCCCATATACATAATACCAAACTTACCATCTACATACTACCAAACTTACCCCCTATACATATACAAACTTACCCATCTATATACTAAAACTACACATATACATAATTACCCACACTTATCACCATGTATACATACTACCAAACTTACCCCCATAAACATAACTCCCAACTTACCACATATACCATAAATATAACTTACCCATTCTTACATAAAATCAAATTACCCCCCAATTACATACTACCTCAACTTACCCCCAAAAAAAAACTACCCCCCACAACTAATACTAAAACCCAACCAACCCCAAAACATCTCACCATTACATATACCCAACAACCCCCAAAACATAGACCACCATAAACATAAAATAAACATATACCCCCAAACCACACAACCCCACAAACCATAAAATCCCAACCACACCAACCCCCCTAACAAACAACCACCCCCCCAACCACCCTCAACCAACAACCCCAACACCCAACCACAACTCCTCCCCTCACACACTCATCCCTCTCACCCCCCCACCCCACACCCAACAACCTCCTCATCCCCCCAATACATACTACAAACTTACCATATTACATAATACAAACTTACCAATTACATACTAACCGACTTACCCATATAATGTATCACCGTGTCTTAACCCATATACCATATACCCAAATTACCCATCTACATACTACACTAAACTTAACCCCATCAATACTACCCATCTTACCCATATACATAATTACCCAAACTTCCCCAATACATAATACCAAACTTTACCCATATACATAATACTAAACTTACCCAATTACCATAACTACAACTTACCCCATATTATACTTACCCAAACTTACCCCATATACTTATACCCAAACTTACCAATTACATACTACCAAACTTACCCCCATATCTACATATTACTTAACTTACACTTAGATGTACATAATACCAACTTCCCCTTCTACATAACTGACCCAAACTTACCCCCATATACATAATTACAACTTACCCATCTACCAATACTACAAACTTAAATATACATATTACCAAAATTACCCCATATAATTAATTCCAAACTTACCATTTAATAATCTCCAAACTTTACCCATTTACATCTTACCATACTTACCCATCTACATAATACCAATCTTAACCTTCTACTCTACCAAACTTACCCATTTACATATATTCCAATACTTAACCCATAAGATTGACTTTACTACCAACGATCTTACCCATATAATAATACCCAAAATTAACCCATATACATAATACCAAAATTACACCCTTATACAATAATACAACTCTACACATCTAGCAAAAAACTTCACCCCTATACCTACCCCAAATTACCCTAACAACACCAATACTTACCCACTACTCTACAAACTCTCCATATCAAATTAAACATTACCCCATATAATTCAATCCCCATACTTAATACTCAATCCCATATCTCATCCAAAATTAACTCTATATTAACCTCCAAATCAACATATACTAATACCTAAATTACCCATCATACAAATTCCAAACTCATACCCCATATTACATTATACTACCTCTTCTAAATTCATTCCCCCCCTATCCCCACTCTCCAATCTACAATCCAACCCACCCCACTCTAAATCTCCCATATTACCACCTCACAACTAACCCTACCATCTCACCCACCATATAATAAAATCCTACACTAACCTGACATCTCTAAAGCCCTATTAAACTACACTATAATCCTCCCATACAATATCCACATATTCACATAACTTCCGCTACCCTCTGTTGACCACAAAATCTAACCTCTACATATTAAAAGACACATCCCATCCAAAACATCCATCTCAACAAACATATCTACAACACCAACCTAACCCTCCCCAATCTAACCCACATATTACAACCACAATCAATATCCCACAACCTTAACATCTAATTCTACAATCTCACACCCCTCAACCTCACCCTACCATACTAAATAACTAAATTCCACATCCTTAATACCCCTACCTCATCAACCTACCTAACCCTCCCCCCAAATCCTATTAATACCCAATCTCACCACTCCCCATAAACCCCACCTACATTCCCAAACTAACCAACCCCCATATAAAACCTCATACTACCCATACTACACCTCAACCCCCCAATACTCACTCTACCCCTACCCAACTACATCCACCACTAAACCTCATCTACACATTCCATACAACCCTCCACCCCCCCCCCCCCCCCCCCCCCCCCCCCCCCCCCCCCCCCCCCCCCCCCCCCCCCCCCCCCCCCCCCCCCCCCCCCCCCCCCCCCCCCCCCCCCCCCCCCCCCCCCCCCCCCCCCCCCCCCCCCCCCCCCCCCCCCCCCACCCCCCCCCCCACCCCCCCCCCCCCCCCCCCCCCCCCCCCCCCCCCCCCCCCCCCCCCCCCCCCCCCCCCCCCCCCCCCCCCCCCCCCCCCCCCCCCCCCCCCCCCCCCCCCCCCCCTCCCCACCCCCCCCACCCTACCCCCTCCCCACTACCCACCTCTACCCCCACTCACCCCCCCACCACTCCACCTCCCACCCACCCCCCCCCCCCCCCCCCCCCCCCCCCCCCCCCCCCCCCCCCCCCCCCCCCCCCCCCCCCCCCCCCCCCCCCCCCCCCCCCCCCCCCCCCCCCCCCCCCCCCCCCCCCCCCCCCCCCCCCCCCCCCCCCCCCCCCCCCCCCCCCCCCCCCCCCCCCCCCCCCCCCCCCCCCCCCCCCCCCCCCCCCCCCCCCCCCCCCCCCCCCCCCCCCCCCCCCCCCCCCCCCCCCCCCCCCCCCCCCCCCCCCCCCCCCCCCCCCCCCCCCCCCCCCCCCCCCCCCCCCCCCCCCCCCCCCCCCCCCCCCCCCCCCCCCCCCCCCCCCCCCCCCCCCCCCCCCCCCCCCCCCCCCCCCCCCCCCCCCCCCCCCCCCCCCCCCCCCCCCCCCCCCCCCCCCCCCCCCCCCCCCCCCCCCCCCCCCCCCCCCCCCCCCCCCCCCCCCCCCCCCCCCCCCCCCCCCCCCCCCCCCCCCCCCCCCCCCCCCCCCCCCCCCCCCCCCCCCCCCCCCCCCCCCCCCCCCCCCCCCCCCCCCCCCCCCCCCCCCCCCCCCCCCCCCCCCCCCCCCCCCCCCCCCCCCCCCCCCCCCCCCCCCCCCCCCCCCCCCCCCCCCCCCCCCCCCCCCCCCCCCCCCCCCCCCCCCCCCCCCCCCCCCCCCCCCCCCCCCCCCCCCCCCCCCCCCCCCCCCCCCCCCCCCCCCCCCCCCCCCCCCCCCCCCCCCCCCCCCCCCCCCCCCCCCCCCCCCCCCCCCCCCCCCCCCCCCCCCCCCCCCCCCCCCCCCCCCCCCCCCCCCCCCCCCCCCCCCCCCCCCCCCCCCCCCCCCCCCCCCCCCCCCCCCCCCCCCCCCCCCCCCCCCCCCCCCCCCCCCCCCCCCCCCCCCCCCCCCCCCCCCCCCCCCCCCCCCCCCCCCCCCCCCCCCCCCCCCCCCCCCCCCCCCCCCCCCCCCCCCCCCCCCCCCCCCCCCCCCCCCCCCCCCCCCCCCCCCCCCCCCCCCCCCCCCCCCCCCCCCCCCCCCCCCCCCCCCCCCCCCCCCCCCCCCCCCCCCCCCCCCCCCCCCCCCCCCCCCCCCCCCCCCCCCCCCCCCCCCCCCCCCCCCCCCCCCCCCCCCCCCCCCCCCCCCCCCCCCCCCCCCCCCCCCCCCCCCCCCCCCCCCCCCCCCCCCCCCCCCCCCCCCCCCCCCCCCCCCCCCCCCCCCCCCCCCCCCCCCCCCCCCCCCCCCCCCCCCCCCCCCCCCCCCCCCCCCCCCCCCCCCCCCCCCCCCCCCCCCCCCCCCCCCCCCCCCCCCCCCCCCCCCCCCCCCCCCCCCCCCCCCCCCCCCCCCCCCCCCCCCCCCCCCCCCCCCCCCCCCCCCCCCCCCCCCCCCCCCCCCCCCCCCCCCCCCCCCCCCCCCCCCCCCCCCCCCCCCCCCCCCCCCCCCCCCCCCCCCCCCCCCCCCCCCCCCCCCCCCCCCCCCCCCCCCCCCCCCCCCCCCCCCCCCCCCCCCCCCCCCCCCCCCCCCCCCCCCCCCCCCCCCCCCCCCCCCCCCCCCCCCCCCCCCCCCCCCCCCCCCCCCCCCCCCCCCCCCCCCCCCCCCCCCCCCCCCCCCCCCCCCCCCCCCCCCCCCCCCCCCCCCCCCCCCCCCCCCCCCCCCCCCCCCCCCCCCCCCCCCCCCCCCCCCCCCCCCCCCCCCCCCCCCCCCCCCCCCCCCCCCCCCCCCCCCCCCCCCCCCCCCCCCCCCCCCCCCCCCCCCCCCCCCCCCCCCCGCCCCCCCCCCCCCCCCCCCCACCCCCCCCCCCCCCCCCCCCCCCCCCCCCCCCCCCCCCCCCCCCCCCCCCCCCCCCCCCCCCCCCCCCCCCCCCGTTCGCCGCATACACCTAAACCAATCCCGCTTCCCCTCTCCCCCTATCCCACTCCCTTACCCCCCCTCTACCCATATTCCCACTCCTTGTCCCACCCCTCCCCCTTTTGAAGTCCCACAGATTGAGCCCCCCCTACCCCTTTCCCCACCTCACCCACCTCCCCCTTACCCCACACTTCACCCTTACACCTTACCCAACCTTTCACACTGTCCCATACCCCCAGACATCTGCACCATTCTCCTACATCCATATACCCAATTCTGTGCCTAATGTCTCTCACCACCTTCAATTCACCGCTCTACCTACCCCATATAATCCTCTGTGACCAGTTTCTGTAAAACCCACATTATTAATTCTTACCATATTCCCACCCCCCACCCAACATTATAACAACATTCCAAAATTCTTCCACCTGTCTTGTACACATACCTCTCTTCCCACTCCCCATGTCCCAGACCCCCATCCTACTCTCGTTCCCCCTTACTTATTAATTAAACTCCCCCCACATTCCCCCTAACCACCCACATCACCTTACCGTACCCCATATAACACAAACCTATACCCCTCCCCTCACTTCCTGACCCCCTCACCAAATCCACAACACGTACAGACCTTGCCTTCTTGTTCACCCAGTTTGACTATTAATAACTACCTTTACTCTTAGATCCACTACCCTATGCCCCTACCTAAACATACTCTATTCCTAACTCTCATGGAGTGCATATACTGCCCCTGCTCTTTGGCCAACGATCCTCACATCTGTCACCCTATCCACCAAATCCATAGACACTGTACCCCTCTCCCCATCTACCTCAAATAGAAATCCACCTTCTTCTCCACCATCATTCTAGTCTATTGTCTACCTAGCAACCTTCAATCCCTCTTTTTCATACTTGTGAATTCATCCCTCAAACCCTCACATCCTTTCCCCATTGCGTAAGTTCGTCGACCCTACTACATCAACCACTACCTACATTCCCACCTTATCCATTTTAACCCCACTCCCGTCTGTTCCCCAATCTCCATCCCCTTTATGCTTTTTATTTTATTTGCCCCTTCCCCACTCTCCCAATCAGACTAAATCCCCGTTCATTCCTCCATACGTCCTTTTACTGTCAACCTTTCAAATATCATGTTTTTACCAAATCCTTCCTCCTTAACCTGAACGTAACATCACATTCCAGTCACCAACCCTCTTTTTCATTCCAAAAACTCTGATGCTACATATCCAAACCTCTTTTACGTTTCAGCACCACTGTGTACCTATCCAAATCCCTCATTTTTAATATACATAAAATCATTCTTACTTTTTGATACTAATAAAGCAGGTTATTTTAAGCTAAATACCTCTTTGTTAACTGATGATACTAGTTACGTCTGGTGTCTGTAGAGAAATCCCTCATGTGTTCTGTGCTATTAAGACTTGATGTCTGTGACTTTGAAAGCTGTTTAGTGACTTTTTAAAGCTGGGGTCTGTAGTGATTAAAGCTAGGTGTCTGAGACTTTAAAGCTGGGTTCTTTTACCTTTGTACAAGCTTGTCGTGTTGAACCTATAAAGATGGGGATCGGATTGCTTTAAATCTCTGGTGTCTAGTGACCTTTGTAAAGCTGTTGCAGGATTAAAGTCTGGATGTCTCCGTTTGACTGTACTCAGCTGGGGTCTGTGACTTTAAAGCTGGGGTCTGTACTTTTAAAGCT